ACGAATACGCAGGGGTGAGGTGCGTGGACGGACAGAAGTGCTGCAAACGTTCGATCTTTTTAGATTGAGTATTGCAAGTGGGAGGTTTTCAGTGTAGAAAAATCCAAAAGCTGAGAGACGAGCGAAAACCTGTCATTATTCAAGGAGCGCGCATAGTAGAATGTGAAGAAAGAGTTGTGAGCAGAAATGACCTAAACTCAGAACGATGTGTACGTACTGTCAAGTGATATTTTCCTGCTATTTTCATAACGCTTAGACACTTGGCATCATGATAGAGTTTAATGTCCTCCCTCTGCATCATTCAATACTGCTAAAACCTTTTATGTTTCTCTGCAATTATCAATTTGATGAGGCCTGTAAACTTCATAACTTGAGAATATAGATATTTATTATTGTTATTTAATAATGTGCGAGGTAAGTGTTCGGACCCTGAAAAAGGCAAGTGTTAGAAATACTTCATGTGCAGTCGCGCCGCAGTCACTGACCACCTCATTTCAGTAGTTACCAGGCTGGAGCCATGAGACGTCAACACGTGGCGAAGAAAACCACTGAGGATACCGACGCACCACCTAGGTCCACCTCAACCGAACTGTCACAGGCACGACCTGCAACACTTGAGGTTAGCCATACAGCCAATCCTCCCGGCACTGTAGGCGTCACTATACCTAGTTAAGCAAACCCAGGGCCCCGTGATACACCCGGCGCCTACCCCGCCCTCCAGTGAGAGCTACTAGGCGAAAGCGTCAAAGAGTAGGGCGGAAGCATTTGACAAAACCACACGGATATGATAACAACTGTCACCAGAAGTTATGCGGCCTTTGAGTGCAACAGCTACAACAGATGGGTGCACTGCCGATGTGACAAAGAAGTGCCATATCGGTACCACAGCTTTATGACGCGCCACCCGTACACGTTGTTTTGGTACATTTGCCCACAGTGCCGTCTGAGGCCGCACCTAGCTTCAGGCTTATTTAGAGTAACCCATAAGTCTCCAGGGACCAAAAAGCAGGTATCCGTCCAAACCACTATCACAGAGCAGATTCACTCCCCAGAGGATTTTGGCAATGGCCTACATAAAGTCAAAACCCTGAGTTGCTCTAAGCCGAAAAAACACTGCCTACACCAACGGTAACCGCATCTACCTCAAGCCTTGGAGTCGCACTAGAGACAGCAACTAACGGACAACATAAGGAATGGGTCAGGGTGGAGAAAAGAGCCCGTATCATCCTCAAAAAAAAACACCTTTGAGATCCGATAATGTTGACACCACTGACCGATATAGCTCTGTCGTTCTCTTTAACGTTCCTGTCTGCGGTGATAGCCTTCTGGAGCATAAGGACAAGTTTGACAGGTAGCAGTGAAACCCCCTTTGTCCATGCTAGGTCTGGGCGCTCCCACCCGCAGGGAGGCCCCCGCCGATGAGGGTGACTCCAGGCTCCATTAGAGACGCAGAAAAGATCCTCTTACTGTCACACACGCTGATCATCAACAGATCGTCCAGCATTAGACCTGATCGTTCATGGGTGTCAAGAAAGACGTCTCGAGAAGCACCTGGTCCCCTAAAAATCACAACCATGGTCGTGCATGGAATGCCTGAGATAGTAACCGGCACCTTAGTTGATAAGTAAACCCGTGACGTCAAGCAATGGGAGTGGTTATCGGCTCAGATGGAGCTGAGTGGGGTCGCAGCTGCGGCAATTTGCAGACCGCCATGCCCCTCTTATCTGACAACCATGACCTCACCATAACTAGTGGCTGTCAACTTCGAATCACAAGAAATGCTCACCGGGGTGCTAGAGACGTGGCGCAAAGTCAAGAGCACCGTAAGTGGTAACGTTCACTGTTGTGAAAGCAGCCCGAGATACTGCGACAACAAAAGACAGCAGCTACTCCCCGTGCTCAGGCCACCGTAATCCTAAACCAAAACGTCGAGAGTCAGACCGACAACCTCCACCCAACACCGAATGCACCAGTTCCATTGGAACTGGCCTATCAGTAAAACTTTCACATCCAAGCCTGTGCCACTAGTTAACCCAGAGATATCTCACGTTACGAGAAGCACCTCCAAGTGTCTTTACAGCAACGTGAGAGGACTCCGAAGTAAAACGTCAGAGCTATAATCCCTCTGTTTCGATCTTGTCCCGAAAATCATGATCCTGACATGAACGCGGTTGTCATCAGACATAGGCGAAACCGAAGTTAACATAGACGGCATGATTCTGCTCAGGAAAGAAAGAGAACATGGGGACGTTGGGGGTTGCAATATCAGTGAACAGTTGGTTCAGAAGTGAACAAACCACTGACACGGTACTGACAGAGCACCCAGACTCTATCTGGTGTCCATTCGCTGACAAACACATCAAATTCTTAGTTGAAGGAACCTATGGGTCCCCTAACAGCAACTTAGAACACAACCATAAACTTCTCCAGGTAATATCCACAGTGTCAACTATAGAGTACGACCACATCCTAATAGCTGACAACTTCAACTGTCCAACCCTGAGGCAAGAGTAAGGTTATAGGACTCCGAGCCAGAAGTTCGATAGTAACCCGCTAAATCACATCCAAAAGCCTAGACGCAGGGGAACATCAGAGAAGACACCCGCTAGGGATCAGATGGTAGACAAATTAAAACGGATTATATAATGCCTAGTAATCAAATTCTGGTGGAAAAAATTCAGCAACAAAATCCTCCGGGAAGAAGAGAACATTCAATGCCAGTGCACAACCTCCTAAACAACGAAAAAGATATATGCGGCGGAGCGGGTGAAAAAAAGCCAAAAGCACGGCTATGACAAGTAAAGAAAGAAGTGGCTACCGCGACTCGATAGTCTAGTGGATAAACAATATCATATGATTAAAAAGACAGGCAATATCGAGGCATCCGCTCACCTGCACATATGCCAATGCAGACCGATCAATTCGGTCGAATCAACCACCGTATATTACAAGCAATAACACTGAAAGTATACCCATCACACAAGAAGTGGCTATCGTGACTCGCTCGTCTAGTGGATAACGTGGTGTCGTTTCAGGCGATCGCTATTAACTTGGAATCCCCGTAAGAACAACATCACTCACTGCGAGACAGCTACATCCAGCTCACCAGTCACAAATAGGACGAAATGCGCATCCTGCATTCCACTCATAGCCACTACCCACCAATACTATATAATTAACGAGACAGGCAATATCGAGGCATCCGCTCACGTGCTATATGCCAAGGGATAGCTTTGGTGTGGCGGGTGTATTTTTGTAAGAATAATATTTTTAGTTTACGTTTCACAGTACCTGGAATGGTGACTGTTCCTGCGTGGATGGTATAATTTTTTTTGCTATTGTGGAACATGTTGCTGTTTTTATTATGTATAAGTTTTTTGAATACTGTAATTCATGTTGTTGTTCAATTCTTGGAAGCTGTAATTTCGATGATGTCTGTTTATTGTAATAATACAGGGAAGTCTTGCTAGGGAGTGAAATAGGCTACGGTAACATCAGTAACTGTATCGTACTATCATTTGATTATTTAAAAGCAGGCTGATAACGAGAATCGACTTATGATGACGAATTGTTGGTGTCTAATTCTAAAATGAAAAGGAACAGCCTACTATTGTGAACGTGTAAGCGAAACTGTTCAGGCATCTGTCTTCTGTACTTTAAATGAGTGAGTAGTTAGCTGTACGCAAAATCAGCATATCAGCAGAGACTCAGTCACAAGACAGTCATTCGGTTGATGAGATCATTTACAAAACCATACAGTTATTACTGCTATCAACATTTTATTGGTGTTCTCAATGTAAAGTAAAATCAGTATATTAGATAAGGAACGGAAGCGTGTTAAGGAGGGACACAAAGGAAAAGTACACGTACTCAGCTATTCCACAGATTGAAATATTTGTCTTCCAAGAGCATGCACAATACTAAAGATAGAAGAAACCTTTTCATGCACAAATATCACTGCGACATCTAAGTCTATGTGCACGTGAGTGAGTCCTAGCCGAAAAGCATACAAAAAACATAAGGGCTACTGTTGTTCAAGGAGTGCATATGTTGCCGAATTCTGGTGAGAAATAAAGAAATGTAGATGAATGGTTGATGGCTATTTTAACTAAGTACTTCTGCAGTTTGATAGAACAATATTTGACGAAATAAACCCATTTATTCATGTCTTGATTACATTCAGAAATAATATTTTCTTGTACAACAAAGGAAAACTATTTGCAACCATACCAACATTAGGAATAAGAAAGGCATACAAACAGCAAAGTGTTTCAAGAATCTGATCACGTAATATTTTATCTTCTCATGAAAGAAGCAAATTTATATAAGAAGTAAAGTTGTTGGGAATTGAGAAATTAAAATGCGTATGTCATGTAAACAAAATAACCAGTTAATTATTCCCTTGGAAATTCGTTGGTTATAAGTAGATTAAAGATGATTTATAAAATCGAGTAAGGTGCTTAAGATACTGAACCGCTGAAAAATAAAATTGAAGATATGAGGTAGTCTATTTGTTTTCTATCGATTAGTTGTCTTTTTGATTGATAGTTGGTGATCCATTTTTTTTATTTGCACTGTAACAAGTAAATAAGCAATTACATGAGCTTTAGCTGGCATTTGTTAGAAAACTTACTGACTAAAACGACAGTCAATGCAACGAATAAGCGTTATAAATACGTAGAAGTGTAACTCAATTATTTCAAATATAGCGGAATTAAATGAGAAACAAAAGCTGATTATGATTCAAATGTACAAACGCAATTCTCTTTTAGTGAAAAAAAAATAATACACAATTAGTTTTCGATACTGAAAGAGGAATGGGTTAAATAATTGGAGTTTTCTTCCTATACAGTGAATAAAAAATGAATACACAGGAATAAAAGTTTTCGGTCTGTATCAAGTTTTTGTATGATACGAAATTGTATTAACGATTTACTGTCGATGTAAGGATATGAACTAATTTTATTTTGGAGTAGAAAATGCGTATACACATTTGTGTTATGACCATGATTTGCAATGAAAACCTGAAATAAGATGAATTTAAAAAGAAATGTAGTCTTCTGATCAAAAATATGTTTAAGTTATTAGATACCAAGATAAACAATAGATGTTCTATTTTTCTCAGAACTATATTTTGAGCACGTTAATTCTTAGCGATTTGAAATTACCCTTACATAGGCATCCATTGAAAAAAATGACAGAATTCATGGCAAACAGAAGGATATGAGATTCTTTTCTGAGGATTTTTGGAGCATGCAAAAATATCTTCATTTATGTGTAAAAATATCGACAAGAGGGTTCATGACAAGCATGTTAGCTTCTAGAAGAATGAAAACAAAATAATGGACTTTGTGAAATTAAAGTACTCTGTTGATTTCGACGACAGAGAATTCTAGATATTTTGATAACTAGTTAGTATGAAAATCAATCAACCAAATTAATTGTTACAAACCCTGAAAATTGAATGAAATCTTAAGGATTCGAAATTAGAATATGGAAGAAGTTAGGACTATTTGCTGCTAAAATAAACCGGAATGAAACGGAATATTTATTGGACTAGGTTATTTCTCACTAGTTGGTAAACGGAAGATGATTTATTGTTAAAATTACTTTTCGAACTTTTCAGTTTAATATATTAGTGTGAAAAGTTATACGTTCCAAGGATTTCGTTTACTTTGTATGTTTTTTTCAAACTATCCGGTCCATTGTTGGTCAAGATACGTTCGAACTTCTATCTGACAGTATTTTCACTGAAAAGACTGTCGAATATTTCCTAATGAATTCCAAACAATGAAGTGAGGAAATATTGGCCCCTATAGTGGCCAAAGGAAAAATGTTTTTGCACCAGGCTTGAAGATTTTGTTTCAGTATCTTATTAGTTTCACAAAGTGTATTATGAAGGATTCTCAGTACAATGTTTATGTGAATGATATTTTTCGGCAGTAAGAGTAACTTTCAACTAACTATAGCGACATAGAATACTAAGGTGAATCAAAAACTCACTTTAGAATTTTTAATTAAAGATTAGTTGTAGCTGGAATGCTTAAAGTATTATTCCTTCGATGTCTAACATGTTCATCTTGAAAATACGATAACGGTGGAACTGAACATGGATGTGAACCAGCATATTCATAATTATCTACTATCGGAGTAGTTGTTACAGTTTTATCGCTTAGACAACCTAAAAGATCTCTGGACGTTTTTGAACTTTTCGAAACCACTGTTGAAGCAGACGGCAAGGGTGATAACTGTACTGCCGCTTGCAGAGTTGATACACCAGATTGTGAAGGACAGGTCATTGATGTGATTGTAAAGCATAGTTCAGGATCTGAGTATAAATATGCATCTGATCCACTGTCTGAATGATTTGTCTGATGAGATGAATGGTTTGAAGACAATCTGATAACATTTGTTGAATTATGGTTGAACAGTACTGTCTTTTCTTCAGTCTGAAAAGCCTGCTAAGATTGAAAGTCAAGATTGTCATAAATAAATTAGTAAGCTGTTTATTGTATCAAGTAAAGGGTAGAAGTTATCAATTTAAATCATCTAAAACTTAATGATCAATTATATTCCAAAACTAACTTGCATGCTCGAAGCGCACTACACATTTTCGTGCATGTCTAATCGTTTTCAGTTCTATTTATTGAATTAATAGATTAAATTTATAGTTGTGCATAGAAGTAATTGTGTGCATTTTTAAAGGGGAGTTTATGTAAAATGTTCAGGGAATACTACAAAAACTACTGAATGTCATCAGTCAATTAAACAGTTGTAAACGATTTTATCCAGCACATGTAATCAATTTACAATAATGGTTAAGTGTAACGGTTAAGAAGCTCATTTTCTCGTTTTCGACTGATTTACTGATAGTCGACTATATTTTAAGAAAATTTAGAGATCCAACAGGATTCAGGCTGAAAACTTATACAGGTATATCCCACTTATTAAGCCAGGTGAGCTGTAGAGAACATTTGTCAGTTTAATGCTAATTTTCTTTCAACTGCTATTTACTTTCCTCGCTGTTATTCATCTTTTGTTACAGGAGCGGTATTTGAAGATAGCTACGCATGATTATCAGTAAAACAAACGGAAGATTTGACGATGGTGTGGCGTGACTTACGATTCAACCGACATGTCTCGATAAGTAGTAATTACAGTGATAGAGTTTAAACGTCCTGGGATTTATAATCATTTGACGCTCACAGAGAACACAGAAACGTCACAATAAGGGAAGTCATAAACGGCTTGAGGAACGACCTACCATTTTTCAGCCAGAAATGTATAAGCATGCTCATTAGCGCCTAAAAATAGTTAAGTTGTTTAACATTAAGGCAGCATTTCCCCCTTTTTACGGTAGATTTTGCAGTGGTGTTTCTGAATAAAAACAATACTTAGCAAATACAATTTTAATAGGCCTTTCTTCGTGTACATCTGCTATTGAAATAGCAGAGAAGATTTGTAGCTCAGAAAGAGGATGACTTGTCTGGTGTTCTCCGAGTAGACAGGGGACACCATCTTTTTAGGCAGTGATAACGAAATGTGGCGTCAGTTGAATATGTTTTAAGTACATCAAGAATGCGGCTTTTTAGCTTGCTTATTCAGAATTTTGACTCAAAACTAGTTTGCCTCTGTACTTTTTGAACAACAGTGAATGAATTGGCTGAGTTCATTATATATATATATATATATATATATATATATATATATATATATATATATATATATATATATATATATACTGACCGGCTAGTTTTAATATACGGCCTGTTATGCAGATCGCCTTATACAGCCGGTAACTGTTTACTATATGTGGTGAGAAATTTTCGCTTGTAGTGGAGCTTGAAAATTGCACTTCGTCCTGCTTGGGGCTCACTAACTGGATATACTTGCTTCCAAGTGAATGTTGTTGTTTCTACAGGGACTCGACCTCATCACCTACCGCTTGCTACCTTACACTAAAATGAAACTACCAATTATGTTGAGTCATATACACAGGAAAACGCATGCTTGTGGTGGCAGATCACTTTGATCCAAACCAATCAACCAAGGGAAATAATACACCCACCTGATGAAGAATAGCCATCGTAACTCACTGTCTGAAGGGGTAGTGCTCAGACGTTTGAAGTGATAAGTGCTTGGTTCAAGTTTCAGTAGAAACATCATGACTCATCTTGATACAGGCACGATCAACTATACAGCCTTACACAATGTAACATGAGTTCTAGATTTCACCACTTAACATTGTGTATCCTCAAAAACTGATAAGTTACTGACACATCTCAAAGTGTGCAAAGCTCACTTGTTCTGATAATTTCTTTCGATTTTGAAGCCTTTGATGAAGATCTTAATATCCAAGTCATACCAAACTTTACTGAATACCAAAATAACTTTTATTTAATTAAATGGGAAGTTGTCAGATTTTCAAAAAGATTACTAAGTGTTCCATTGTAAAATCTGGAAGTATTGAGAAAATTAAAGTTTGCTATGCATACTGTGTCTCCAACAAATAAATATATAAGAAGTCCCCCCAATCTTGGAATCCAAATATCTTTAACCTATGAGAGGTTGAGAATGGGTCTTTTGAAAGTCTGCATTCATTTGCATGTTGTCGTATTTGATTTGAGAAAGTCTATAATTCAACAGAATCATAGGCAGAGCTAAGATGTTGAGTCAGATATGAAGCAGGGACTTCATTGACAACTCTGTAACGAAATCAACTTAAAATAACTTCGTTTTCACAGTCACCTGTCAGTTCTTCAGTCTCAGTCATTAATATTAGCCTTGTGTTTTAACAGAAAGAAGTATGACTACACAACTTTATGTAAAGGAAAATGTTTTAACTTACTCCCAGATACGGTCTCCGCCCACCAGAATGTAATTTCAGGGATTTTGAGGCACTGGCTGTGCGTTTGCTCCTTTATACAACAAATCCTTCTATACTCTCTTCTATGATGTGTAGCGTAGCGTAGCGTTGCGTTGCGTTGCGTTGCAATTTAATCCGCACATGATTTGTCCTTCCTCAAGCCAACCAGCCAGCCTGTTCCGGTCGTAATTTTGAATACAGACCTTTTTCTGAGTCTCTCCAGGATGATGCGGATTGATATTTTGCTTGCGGTGGACAGGAGCATGATTCCGCACCAGTTCTTGCGAAGACTTAGGTCTCCATTATTTGGGAGTTTGACAAGGTAGCTCTTCATCCAATAAACCGGCAGGTACCTCTCCTTCCTTCCAAACTTTCTGCAGTAGTGGTGTGAGCATGTCCGCTGTTGTCTCTGCGCCTGTTTTCAGTGCTTCTGGAGGAATTCCATCCGGTCCTGCTGCTTTCCCGGATTTCAGCAACTTTATGGCCTTCAGGATTTCGGCTTTTGTCGGAGGGCTCGTGTTCACTGGCAGTTCTGTGGCTGGGTGGCTGGATGAGTTGTAGGTGGTGGTGGTAGTCGATTCAAGAGTTTTTGAAGTGGTCAGTCCATCGTTTCCTTTGTTTCTACTCTTTGGCAACTAGGTTTCCTTCACTATCCTTTATTAGTTTCATCTGTGTTGATCTCTTCCCAGATAGTAATCTGGTTATGTGATATAATCTTGTCAGGTCTCTCCCACCTGCAGCCTGTTCTGCTTCACTTGCAAGTGTGTCGTAGAAGTGTATTTTGTCTTTCCGCGCACTCTTCTTCACTTCCTTCTCCAGTGTTTTATAGGTTGTGTTCACTTCCTCTTTTCGTTGTTCATCCCCGCACTGCACTGGCTCATCTTCTGCTTCACCATCTTCCTCTCCCTACACTAGCAGCTTCCATGCATCCGCCGAGATCCATTCCTTGTCTTGCTTCTTTTTCCTTCCTAACACGGTTATACAGGTTTCCTCCCACGTTGCTTTCACAGAGCTCCAGTGTTCTTCCACGCAGGCTTCCTCGGGGATGTTGCTTAATGTCTCCCATTTTTTTCCTGATGACTGACTGACGCGAAGATGTCCTTTGTAGTTTCGTCCTTCACTTTCTGTTCTGGGTGTTAAACTTGAACTGTGGTCTATCACCAGCCAGTTTGAAGGCTTTCAACTTCACTTTGGAGGTTCCTTGCACTAGATAGTAAGTGGTATGGAACCACATCTGCTCCTCTTCTTGATCTTGTATCCAGTAGGCTGCGTCTCCACTTTCTTCACATTGAAATGTAGTCGATCTGATTTTTAGTATGTCCTGGTGTCTAGTGAAATCCATGTCGCTAACGTTTTGAATATCCTTGTACTTGTACACACTGCTTCCAATCACCAAATCGTTGAATGTGCAGAAATCTGCAAACAGTTCTCCATTCTCATTCATTTCACCGAATGCCTCTCCATCTATGATGAGTCCTCTTCCTATGTTGTCTGCTCCCAGTTTAACATTCATGTTACCCATTAAAATTTCGATGTCGCCAACTAACTGGAGTCTTGTCTAGCACTGATTCCAGTTGTCTGTAGAATTCCTCCTTCTTCTCTTCATCTGCATTATTTGTAGGTGCGTAGCCTAGCACTGTATGATTGTGACTTCCCTTCCTTTTGAGTTGAATCCATCTTGCTGTCATGATCGTGGAGGAGATTGGTTCCCAATGCATCAGAGCCTTCGATGCTCTCAGGGACATCATGATAGCCACTCGAAAACTCAGTGTGCTCGTGGTTGTCGTCTGGGTGACAATATCGGAGTAGATTGTTGACTCTCCAGTTGACAATTTGGATAGTCCACTTCCATTCTATCTGCTTTCGCAAATTCCTAGCACTTCTATGCCATACCTTCTCATCTCTTTTGCAATCTTAGCAGCCTTTGTAGATTTGTGTATGGTAGTGGTGTACTGGGTAACTAAGCGGGGTTATTTGATATAAGGCAATCGATTATTATTCATGAATACTTGCAAAGAACAAACGACTAACGACCTGCTTTTTATATGTGGTAGATACATACTCACAGACAGTGATGATGATGATAAGCGTCATTGACCGAATGAATTGATGATGATTGTTTAGAAATAATGAGATGAACAATGGCTTAAGCATTGAAATTGGCATGTGTACCATTCGATAGTATATGTTTTGGTACTTCATAGAAATCCAAATATTTTAATGAAGCTGTGGCATAGATAGCGAAACATTCGGAAAAAATTCTTGTTTTGCTTTTCTAAGGACGCTGAGATATCATTTAAATCGTACTAACATGTAACTCTATGTTTCGCCATTCGTTTGAAATGCGTACGAAGATGACTTCAAAAATTCTCTAAGAGTGATCTTTTACAAGTTCACTCACATTTAACTTCAAATTGCAGGAACCTCCGCAGTTTAAACTGAGGTGTGTAATCAGGAAGATGCATCGTTTCACTTAGAACTATCTGTAAGACGCAACGCACTGTAAACTCCCTCCTAGCTTCCAATAATGAATATGCAGTTACTTATCTAATGCTCATAATTATAAAAACAACTTAAGTCGATAAACACTTGAATTTTCGAAACATCACTCTAATTGCAAATGTGGTCCCTCTACATTTGAATCATGCTTTCTTTTTTAATGTTCTTTAACAGACTGTTGCTTTGCTTTAACAATTTCCCGAATATAGATTGCTTTTATCCGACACAAACACGAGATTTGCAACTGGTGTTCTTTTAATATGTAAGCGAATTTTATGTGAACTGAGCAAGAAGTAGATGAAAAGAAATGCATCACAAGAAGCACTTCTTGCATCTTTGTAAAACAAGGGCTTCATGATAAGGTAAATATCGCTTACCTTTGGACCTATTCATCTGATGACTGTTTCAAAAGAAGCCATTTTGTCAGGTGAACAATTTGAATCTCACCTTACTCTCAGATCAACTACATGCAATATTCTGTGCAATAAGGGGTTACGAAGAAAACCATTCTTCATCAAGACCCTTATATTTCTCTTTAAATGTTTCATGTAGACGACCTGATTTATTAAACAATGAGTTCTGCTTAGCATTACTTAATGAACGAAGTAGGTCGACAAATAAAGCGCCGAAGGTGTGCTCACTATAGACTCCCATAGGAGAGATAAAACTTTTTTAACACCTATTATTACTACTGAGAAACTGCCGGAAATACAGTGTGTCCCACTTTGTGGTTTCAAATATATGAAAGATTGGGATTGGCGGATAGCTTGCGAAGTTGAATTCATTTTCTTAATTTGTTCTGGTGGACTGAATACACTATGAAAGTTACTCGGTGACAAAAAACGGGTAGAGAATACTCCTGAAGAAACGAAACTTAACTGAAATCAAATCGCTTCCATATTCGTAAACTGATGCCAAAATATATTAGAATTATAAGAAAGTGTGTGAGACAAAACTCTGATTGTTTCAAATTACGTTACCTCAGGAAGGAAACTGATAAGCAGGAATCAAAATCCGTACGAATAACAATGGAAGTAACAAAAAGCTATATCAATAAATTTGCAGAATACGTGAGAAGACAAACCTTTAGGAGTGAACTTCTTAATCAGTTTTACACTCTTTACTTAAAGCTAAATTATCTCTAATAACTTTCAAAAACTTGTTAAAGTAAAATCAAACAAATGTTAAAAGTCGAAAATGTTGGAACATCTTTTCAAAGCCTTTGTTTCGCTTTAAAACTCTTTATCTTCACCAGTTCTTTCATATGCACTGACCTAGTTTTCATTCAGCTTTTCATCTCTGAAACAGGGTGCTGCATTCATTTTCAGTTCGCATTTTAATGATTACCACTCCACACATTAACTTTGGTTAAAATTGATAGAACTATTTGCTAGGACTGCATACTGAAGGTTAACGAAATTCGCAGTAGATCAGTAATTTTGAAGACACTTGGGCTCCATAAATGTCAGCGAATTCACATGGTACCTTCACTCATAAGTACAGCTAACTAAGGGTTAGAAAAAAAAATTGTCTTTTTCCTATTCACCCCTTTTTAGATTGTTATTGATAGCGTATAATACAGCTTCATTAAATGTTTTAAAAGCATGCTTGAATTGACAACTGATTAACACTTAATGTAAAGTCTTATTTGTCACTTGTAATGTAGAGTTGTTGATTCTGGAGATAGTATATTTCCTGGATTTCGAATGTTATTGCTAGGAAATTTCCAGTTCCATTTGGATACTTTTGCATCTTACCGATACATCTCATGGTATCACATGCTTTTTGCCAGATGCATACCACAATTTTCTAGTTCTAGTTAACATTCAGGCAGTATCGAGGCATCCGCATAGGAGCCCATATGCCGATAGAGATCGAACAATTCGATCCAATAAAATAACGGAGAATTACACGCTTATCAATAAATAGTAATTTCCTAGCTTTGTTTGTGGTTGCACAATCAATAAGCTATTTGAACAGTTAGTAGCTTGTCACACTTAATACATTTAAATTGTGACGAAATGGTATTCTTTCTCCGTCTTTTAACGCTGAAAAATAATTGTTAATATGTATGCGAAACTAGAGCTGATTGATGACACCATGTTTACTGTCTAGAACAGTTCCCTATTGAGCTCAAATGACCTTACTACGCTTGAAACTTTCTTCTTTACTTCAAATTTATTCTTTCGTTCAATGATTAAGCATACCATAGTAAATCTAAATTATATTCATGAAGTTATTCAGAAGTTATTTCTGTCCACTTCTCAGCGATTCGCTAACAATTTCCCTACTGTAAGACAGGATCCTCCATAGGAAGCAATGTAATTCTTATGCACAGTCGGCTAACTTAAAAGCCAACTCATTCCAGGAAGATGATTAATGCTATCTTGGAACTGTTGTCATGAATGAAGACTAGTGGCGTGATTCAAGACATGCACATCTGGTCCTACTTGGAACTCGTCAACTGGATGAACTTCCAATAGAATTAGTGGGAATGTTTCTACTAGTCTACTGTAACACGGTAGCCATATTGCTTGTGCAACAGGAATGCCAAACCTGTAATATACTTAGGAAATAACTAAAAGTTGTACTTTAGTGAAAACACTCCAAATTAGACACATATCACTTTGTTAGAATTAAAAACAGAATTTATAAAATTTGCAGCTGACAAAAAATTTGAATTTCTACACAAATCTTGTTGATTTATGAGTATGTCTTGACTTAGCATACTTGAAGCTATAAAATAAAATCAATCGCATTTACTCAGTGATATTTGACATTTAGCAATAGCGATGAAGACTAAGAAGAGTATTAAATAATTTTTAGATTAGACTTTTTGTAAGCATAACGAATTTTAAGATGAAATTTTGACTTAGTGATCATAAAACTTTAAAACATTTATTCAATTATTCTCACAATATCAAACCTATAAAACAGAATGTTTAGGCTTTTTAAAGAAAGGAAGTCAATGAAACTCATTTATGATCATCCCTTTGGGAATTAAATTGAAATATTTTGCAAATATCAGAAGCGAAAATAAAAAGTTGGAGTGATGTTACTGATAACTTTCAGATAAATAATACTTGGAACACTGAGAAACACTTGAGTTTTAGTAGAATTAATTAAATACTTCATTAGTTTTTGTCCCTTTGGCTGTAAAGCCGAAGGACAAACTTCTTTATTAATCGTATATACACCGATTGGAGTCTTAAACTTTATTAGTTGACATCAATAACTTACCTATTTTTCTCTTGCAGTTGGGCAATTAACTGTTTCTGTGTTTGGGTCGAATCAACAAAATCACCCAGTTTCTAGGGAACGTGAGAATGAAAGAAAAGTTATGTGCATCTGCAATACTGTCAGACAGAAGAGTAATTTATTATGTTCTACTTTCTCACTGGTACAAGGTACAACATATAAGTGAATACATAGCCATATAATCTGATAAGACGTCAGGTTTCCTAGCGATGGCTTGTAATTTCCAATTTCGAAGACTTGATTTCCAAATTGGACCAGTTTTGAAAAGCTGAATTTTGTCAACGGTAGCACGCGTCTAGGAATGTGCGTAATTTAATTCAAGACTGATCAAATCGATGGCAGAAATGAAAATGAATGGCTGGCTCTACACGAAAGATATTGCTTTTATGTTCAAATGATCGGTAGATGTTCCACACCAAAAAAATTACTCCCAACCCTTGATCATCTAACTCAGGTTCAGTCCAAGTAAATCACTGCTTGTTACCAGGCAAATGGAGTTCTGCCAGGCTTTATTGAGCATACACGTTCATCCGATTCCTTGAAACTTTTTCAAATATATTATGCCATACATCGAGAAGCAAAATTAACACTAAGCAAGAGAGCCTGACAACCTCGCCCAGTTAACTAGTACACCAGTTACTAGCCGGTCCTAAGCCCGGATAAAGAGGGAAGGTTGGGCAAACAGCTAACAACCCTACCCCGTAAAACCAATCCAATCGCTAAAAAAACTTCAAAGCACAAAGAAAACATAAAAATAAAAATAAACTTATTCCTCGATGCAATCGGAGAGACGAAATGACGCCGGTTGGTGAGAGCCTTTACGAAGCCAGTCGGCCGATGTATCTTCTCTCGACTAAAGCAAAAGTAAGACTGGGGATATGGAATGTCCGCACGATGTTTGGACCTAACAAGGCTGCTCAGATTGCAAAAGAGATGAGAAGGTATGGCATAGAAGTGCTAGGAATCTGCGAAAGCAGATAGAATGGAAGTGGACTATCCAAACTGTCAACTGGAGAGTCAACAATCTACTCCGATATTGTCACCCAGACGACAACCACGAGCACACTGAGTTTTCGAGTGGCTATCATGATGTCCCTGAGAGCATCGAAGGCTCTGATGCATTGGGAACCAATCTCCTCCACGATCATGACAGCAAGATGGATTCAACTCAAAAGGAAGGGAAGTCACAATCATACAATGCTAGGCTACGCACCTACAAATAATGCAGATGAAGAGAAGAAGGAGGAATTCTACAGAAAACTGGAATCAGTGCTAGACAAGACTCCAGTTAGTTGGCGACATCGAAATTTTAATGGGTAACATGAATGTTAAACTGGGAGCAGACAACATAGGAAGAGGACTCATCATAGATGGAGAGGCATTCGGTGAAATGAATGAGAATGGAGAACTGTTTGCAGATTTCTGCACATTCAACGATTTGGTGATTGGAAGCAGTGTGTACAAGTACAAGGATATTCAAAACGTTAGCGACATGGATTTCACTAGACACCAGGACATACTAAAAATCAGATTGACTACATTTCAATGTGAAGAAAGTGGAGACGCAGCTACTGGATACAAGATCAGGAAGAGGAGCACATGTAGGTTCACACCATTCTAAAGTAAGATGAATTCATGAATCCGTTCCAGAGATTGGCTCATTAGTAAGCACTTATGAAGAGAATTTTGACCTGACCGAATAAATCATCAGGACGTTTCCCCTTTTACTTCCAAAACCTTTAAAAAAGCTCTCATGTAAACTGATTACAGTTATTACTTACATCAAATTCCTGATTTAATGCTGAAGCAGCAGCCAACTGAGCGGCATATCTAGCGATCAAGTTATGTTCTTCATTAGACTTTTGATTTACATTATATGCTCTCAGGGAGAAACTGGTTCCCATACTTGAAGTAACAAAACTGTCGTTATAAACAGATACTATGGGAGCAGTCTGTGTAGTTGATGGTGTGAGCAATGAACTTGATATTTGCTGTTGTTGCTGAGGCTGTCGACTGATATCAATTGGGAGAACATCAGTGGTTGGCTGGCAATGACATGAACTAGATGGGAGGAAGTTGTGCATGCAGAAAAAAAGATTGACTTTATGGTAGTTTGCATATATAATTTTCGCATTACTCATAATTTGGCATAATCATAATTTTACTTTTTATGAACTTTGAAGTACGAAAAGTAATGAATTTGATTACGTATTGGAAAGTTAGCTACCATTCTTAATATGCATACTAAAGGCAAGAATCCATAACATCAAGCGTACTACTCTAATAAGCAGTAAACGTGGCTGATTGGGTGGAATTATAAATATTGATGAGAAATAAAGTCATTTTGATTACACCATTTTTTGATGAAATTATCTCAGTCAGGGATATTTTCAATTTCAGATTCTTTTGGCGACCTACCAAAAACTGTGTCTAGATTCTACAAAGAAATACACTGAAACAACAAACAACTTACTATTTAGCTCATTGCAACATTTAATTAAAAAGATAAAAGTGTAGAACTTGGGGACCACGTTAGAACGTAATTCAGAATTTGAAATAGCAAACAACGATACAGTATTATTTACTTTATGTCGTTTTGAGCAGGATTTATTGCTCATAATGATGCCAAAGTAATCAAGCAACTTTTATAGTTCTATGGCTTCGTATTCTATTTTTTCAGTACCAGAAGAAACATTCACATCTCTGGTGTTTCCTCAACCGCAGCAGACATAATTATAGATAGTTGGGAACATATAGTTTGACAGACATTCAATCCTACTCGTAAGCTATGGTGGCGACATATGGATGTCACATCAACCGTGTTGAAAGTGGAGTATATCAGTGGTTTCCTTAAATATAAAGTCTGAAACAGGTGTAATCCAGTTCAGTCACGAATTAAAAAATGAACAAGGAGAATTAGCCATGTTGGATTGAAGTAAAAAGAAGAACAGATAGCGGTTCAGATAATATGGTTTAAAAGAAACCAACACACTAATAGGTATCTAGACTTTGTCAAATATTGGCTAAAGGGGATTTCATCAAATGTTTTAAAAAAATGGATACAAAACTCACCAGTGAATCTAAGGACCTGAACAAGGAATTGAAACATATGAAGGAAACACCAATAGCTAATAAGTATCCTCCTGAGTTTATCAGAGAATTCATAAGAACACATGAGAAACGAAGTAGCAATAGCAATATGAACAGTAGTAAAAAGCTAAAACGTAGAGAGGAGTTCAATACTTCTGTTGTACTTACCATATAAGGAAGGAACACCAGAAACTTCAAGCAGAATTTTCAACAAAGATGGAACTAAAATCGTATTAAAACCTAAACACTCTGACTTAGGGAAATTAGCCTTACTTACTCAGCTCTTTCATTTTATTGTAAAACATTGATCAGTAGCTGACGGTTCACTAGTGAGCACAAATACCAATCAGAGTTTCTAAATCCTACTTGCGTGTTCATTTAAAAGTTAGATAATCAGTATCTACAGGAGAATGAATTTGAATTAATCTTTTGCTATAGCCGTTATCTTAAACCACTGACATTCCTAATTCACCACTTCAAGATGCTTATCCATTCACGATTTTATTTTTAACAAGCTTTGTATTCACAAAATAGCTGTCAAATGTTTTTGAATGCAATTTTTATGTATGCTTCAACTGCACTGATGACATTATTTTTGCGAAACGTCGTTATCTTAGTGTTTAGATAATATAAGCAGTGATTAATTTATATCACCAGCAATTGAAGTAACTATCGTTTGCGATATATATATATATATATATATATATATATATATATATATATGTCTGCAGAAAAGCTGTCTTTTAACCTTTATTCTGTTTAAGCAGCTCTAATTTCATTCCCACACGATTCCGTATCAATTCATAGAGCAAGGTGTAGCTGTGAAATCAATATGGTAAAATCAAGACAGAAATATATAAGACAGAAATATATATATATTTCTCATGGAAAGTTAAAAGTATAGCTAATAAATGAAAAATAGGCTTTTACGATCTGTAGGGAACGAAATATCGTAAACTGTTCTAAAAATCGACAGCATCCATCTTACTCCCAGCCTAACTAAGTTATCAACAGGCAGCATTTAAAGAATGTTCTCAGTTATAGTTGAGAATATGACTTTATATTTGTAGGAAAAAAAGAGAAAAATTATCACATACATTGGTACCCGATGAGTTGTACCAGACAAATGAGATTCATGCGAACAATGCTGATTTACAGAAGGTGCCTTAGAATGTGGTAAACCACTTCCTAGAAGAAAATGAAAAGAAAGATGAAGGTGACAAGTGATTAGTGATGAAAATAGTCTATATATCTTCTACAACTGTCACAGAGTTGGTCATATAGGTATTTGTATTTAGTGCCATGAGAGTAAAACACCCCTGAATATTTTCAAAACAGGCTTCGTCTAAATTGTTTTGTTAGTTTTAACTAAGTACGTTGTTTGAAAGCCATCATTCTGAACGATTAGGAGAATTTGATTCGCTTTAAACCAATCACAAGAATGTGACATGCTTATGGATAGATGGGAGAAAAATGCCTACCTATTCATCAAAATACCTACTATATAAACAACCGCTTAATTGCTTTGAATTTCAGGTAGCGTTAGAGTGTATTACCTATGATTGTGATTCTTGCTTACTTTAAGCAAGGAGACATTTTTCTAAATTAAATTAAGACTCATTTTTCTGAATATTAGTATTACTGTTGACGGAAAAGTATGTTACAATAAATCTCACCTGCTCTTGTGTAATTCGCTGCAATTTTATCTTGCTGTTGTATTGTGTTGTTGTAACAGGTAGTGGCTATTACGTTTTGAGTAACACTGTTAGATCCTTGGTCAAGTTCGGTCATTCTGTTAAACAGTGGTACAACTTGCATAGGCTGGGTAGACATACACGAAAGGTCAGGTATATCATTAGTTGATCCAGTAGACATAAATAAAGGATTCAGCTGTTGTAAACGTCGATTTGGTAAAGGACTACAGATAGAATTTACTGGTGCAACAAACCTCTGGTTTGAAAGTTGTTTTGAAGGACATGCTATAGAACTGGTAGCTACGACATCCACTGGCATGTTTAATGGCTGGATAGTACCATCTGTGCAACTGTTAGGGACGATCGTTGTTGTTGGTCCTGAATTCCACTCAAATATAGATCTTAAAAGAATACGGCGTGGAACACTGACTGCAGTAGGCGTTTTAGGTTCACTGAAGCCCCCCGTAGTCATAGTGCTAGATGACACTGGATTGGTTATAGAGCGTCCAAAACTGAAAAGACTTTCGCAAAGAATGCCCAAATTGACGAGAATGTGATTTCTAAAATTAAATTGACCATAATTTTTTCTAACTAATTTCTTTAAAGTGCAGAAAATACCATAACCTCACCACTTGAGATAAAATAAAACTTATTTATATGTCAGGTAATAAAAATGGTATAAACTTGTTGGCTTAATAGTGCAAGAGCCTGGTAATAAGTGGAATTGAAGTTCTAGAAGCGATTTTATGTTGCGAGCTGCCGATCATACGTAGCTTTGAACGGTATACCGTTCCTTTTTCTCCTTCAGTTAGAAATTGTAGCCGTAAAGATAAGAACCTGCTGTACTGGTTATCTCTTTGTTCCACTCCTGTGATGTGTGCTATTCTCTGCGCACTTAATTATGAACTATTTAGCTTTAGTTAAAATTTTAATTTCATGATAACAATGAACTTTATTGTCTTTACGGTATGTATCTGTTGTCGGTTTATCCTGGATGGTCTTTAAAAACTTTTTAGACTATAATTAGAGCTAGGATAATAGTTACAATAGACTGGTATGGATCCATTTCATTTCAGGGTTTTTCAGCAGCTCCTTACATCCCATAAGAATTTTATATCATAACAATGCGAAATCTTTTTTAAAAAAGAGACACTGGAAGCGGAAATAACCAGTCCCGAAAGTGGCTCCCATGATAACGGACATCCACAAAAATCCATCAATAAGTACGAGGAAATACCAAATACGAATACAAAGCACGATTAGTAAGCAGGATACCATTCTTAAGGTGAGGCTTTTCAGTGGATAATTGCAGAACGAATGCTGTTTTAAATAGGGCTTGTTCAGTTGCCAGGTTAACCGCATTTAAGCAAGAAACTCGCTTAATGAATGACACAATCCCTTTTTTATGTTATCTCCACTTCGATATATCAATTCACATATACGTTTTGAGGCAAATAGCAAGAAAGATTTGTGACCACATCTCTGAGTAATTCACAGAAGTTTGCAACTGAGATAAATAAATGACGTCAACAACATTATAGCTCATCACTTTACTGATACTAAGCATGAAATAGATATCCAGAATTCGTCAAAAATAATCAATAGACAGGTGAATTCGAATTTGTGTTTAACTGAAGTGGAGGACAAACGACTAAAAACAGAGCTTCTGCATTTTAAAAAGAAACAGTTATCGATCTTTGTCTACCATGGTAAATTTTTGTGTTGTTGATAATCAATATTTTTCACGTATCATTATCAATCCATAAACTTTTATTGTCATTTCATTTCACTCTCTTAAACTTACTGTCTGAATTATACTCAACTTACTTTCCTCTGACCTACATTTTTATTTTTATGTATCTTCTCTTATTATGCAAAGTACATTCATCTCAACAATTTGTGCCCGACTTTCGACATAGAACATTTTTTTGAATCTTCGGATATACCTACAAATTTACTGTTGGTTCTTGTGTATTCATTCACTCAAATCGTGTGCTTTTAATTAAGTCATATTAATGTCATCTTTATTTCAAGCATATAATTATCCATCTCCCGACCGACAGCTGTTGGCTTGACATGGTGATCGGCTTGCACACCAAAATGATCCAACGAACTATGCTGGTGGAACACTTGTCCCCTCGAGGTCCTACCATACCAGAAAGGTCTGTTGGATAGTGGTAAGACGAAAAGCAGTTACCGTTGTGGTGTATATTACTATACTATGATGGGGGTCTGAGGGCGAAGTCGTACTGCTGCTAGGTGGATGGGGTATGACAGTAGAAAGGTGTTTCCCTTGGATGACCAGCAGCACCATGCTGAAGCTGCCTTCTCAGTGGAAGAGGGTTAGAAAAAATCTGCCCCAAAAATAACAAACTCCACCACCCCCACGGTCTGCCGGGCCGGCGGTGTTGGTTCATTTGTCGTTTCCTTTCGACCATCCGGCCCCAAAACAACAACAGTTCAAAATAATCGTACACAAAAGCCTACGTGTGACAGGCCTCAAGCAGATGTCCGATGAGCTCTGAGGTCACACAAATCTCTTTCAGGTACCTTAAGAAGAAATAGCATTCCACAGTGTGGGCAGCTGAGAAGTGTCAACCGCCCCCACAACTCTGTCAGCATACAAATCTACTCTAACTTCCACCCACCTCCCTCATCATTACTTTCTAATCTTCCTTCACGTCTCTCAATGAACCATACTACGTCATCTTCAATTTCTCCCAGCTCTTCAGCCCTCGACAACGCTCTGAATCCACAGAACAGCATACCTGATCTCCTTAAATTACGCCCCAAATTACACATCAGGGCCTTGAATGTCTGCACCCTCCGTCAAACTAGTTAACAGGCTTCATTGGCCAAGGCTCTAGCAACTCGAGCCATGTATATTTGCTGTGTTTGTGAGACTCGCATACAGGACCCAAGTGCGGTTATTCACCTAACCTCTCCCGACCAGTCTGATGAATCCGCGAAATTCACCCTTCGAATTTCTGGAGATCCAATGCTTAGCTCACACGATTTCGTATGTATAGGCATAGCATTAAGTACTAGAGCAGGAAACTCACTACTAAACTGGATCCCAGTTGACAGTCGCCTCTGCACTGTCCGGCTGAGCGGGACAGTGAGAACTAAAAAGAATGGTGAAACTCACCGTTGTCTCTTGTAATCTCTGCTTACGCACCCACTGACTGCAGTTCGTATGCAGTGAAGGGCGAGTTCTACCGAAAACTGTCTAGCCTCCTTTCAAAAGCCAAACATTCAGAAGTGGTGGTTGTTGCAGGTGATTTCAATGCACAGGTGGGTTGACTGAGTGAGGCAGAAAGGTACTTATGTGGCACTTTCGAAGTCCTGGCTGAACGTATAAATAACGGTGATCACCTACTAAAACTGTGCTCAGATAATCGCTATTTTTAGCTAACACAAATTCCATACACAGAGAAAGACACTGCTTGAAGTGGCGTCCACCAAGCTCAACTCAGCAATGGACACAGATAGACCACATTGCTATTAGTCATCGCTGGAGAGGATCGGTGGAATACTGCCGCTCCTTCTGGAGTACATGTTAGGATAACGAACACGTGTTGGTTCGAGCGCGTATATGCCTGCGTCTCAGTGCACGTAGGAAAAACTCGGCAATAAAACCACTACGAGTGCTGCTGGATAACGAAAACGCCAAAGTCGTGTTAAATGAGAAGTTGACTATGCAGTTATCGGAACACAAGACCATCACTCACCCAGAAGAAGCTTGGTGACAACTCCAGTGTCCTGTAAAAGCAGCGCTGAAGACTGTAGCCGACTCCGAAATAGTAGCTAAAAATAGCAAGTGGATATCAGCAGCTTCTTTTGAACTAACAAATGCACGCGAACGCATCCCTGCAGGTTCTGAATACAATGAAGAGCGAGCACAACTTAAAAGTAGATTGAGAAAAAGTCTACGCAATAACCGCGAACAACGGTGGGCAGCGAAGGCCACAGAGATGGAAAAGGCAGCGGCGATTAGTAACAGTGGACAGTTATTTAGACTTATAAAGGAAACTGGGGAGAAAAGGTCAACAACGGTTAGTAAGACCATAGCGAAGAAGGATGGGTCTGCGATTCACCCGCAGGAGAGATGACTGGAACGATGGACTGAACACTTCGAGGAACAGCAAAACCGGCCTCCAGTCACCATTGCGTTGCCTGCTATCCAGTCGAATCCTCGATGCAACATTGGGATAGGCTCCGAAACATTTGCAGAAGTCTAGAAAGCTGTAGATAACTTGAAACAAGGAAGGGAGGCAAAACCAGATGGACTAACTCATGAGGTTTACAAGGATAGTGGTGAGGTAATCTTAGTCAGGTTAACAGAAGTATTAACTAGCATATGGGAATCAAATACGATCTCCTCTGACTGGTCTAAATCACTTATTATCCCAGTCTCCAAGAAAGGCGAGAAGTCCTATGATAACCACAGAGGCGTCAGCCTGAAGAACATAATGTCTAAGATACTAGGTTCTATAATTCTCCAACGCCTGAAAGGAGCTCTCGAACAGCAACCCCGGGAAAAGCAGGCGGGGTTTAGAACCCTGCCGCGTGTGTTATCGAGCAATGAGCCGGTTTCTTATAACACAGACAAGCTTACCGACACCTAACAACAGCTATAATTCTTGACCTGAAAGCAGCATTCGACTCCGTTGATCTGGAACTCTTATGGAAATGTCTCGTTGTAAGGCGTGCCGAGTAAGTACATCACCTTATTGAAGGCTCTCTATTCAAACACCTGTGGGCGTGTGAAGCCTACAGTGAGATGTCCGGGAAGCTGTGCTCATCAATTGGTATCCACCAAGGCTGCCCACTGTCTCCATTCTTATTCAATTTTATCATATATATTCTTAAGGAAGTCTCCCACTCCTCACCTGACTACACAGAGGTTGACCCAATCACGAGAGAATCTTCGTTAGACGTAGAATAAGCAGATGACATAGTCCCGTTAGGTGAAGACGTTGATAAGATGCTGAGTCTTCTGGACACTGAGTGGGAATTTGAGAATGTTTGGGATGCGTTTCTCACCACCCAAATGCAAATTGTTGCTCCAGGATTGGTCATCAACGATGCCTCGGCTAACAGTAGAGAGTGGAGTGGCTGAGTATGTCGACCACTTCACTTACTTGGGAAGTAGGATCAGCCTTGGTGGCTTAGTAGCCGACGAGATTTCTGCACAAATACAAAAGGCTCGGCTGTCTTTTGACAACCTACGCCACCTACGGCGCCGCCGTGATATCCAATCATCTATTAAGAGTCGCGTGTACTGCACAGCAGTCCGCTCTGTCTTACTGTAGGGCTGTGAAACATGGCCATTGAAGGTGGAAGACATGAGAAGGATGGCTTGAGGTGTTTGACCACCGTTGCCTTCGTACTATAGGCCGTATTCCTTGGTGTCACCATGTGAGTAACGCAAAAGTCAAGTGTAGAGTTATAGGGAGGAGGTAAATCAGTTGACGAGGTTGTGAACCTTGGTCGACTGAGATGGTTAGGACACGTGTCATGTATGCCTAGTCGCCGATTGTCTCGTCACGCAATGTTGGCTGAAGTAGGTTCAGACTGGAAAAAGGACCGAGGCGATCAGACTAAAACATGGCACCAATCTATGAAGTCTTCGACTGTTGGTTTAAGCCATATGAGGCGATGCAGACTAGCTGGTTGTGGTCCGCGGGACAAAATAAGCCAGTGGTTGGAGACTCTGTGTGACGGCTCAGAACCGATGTCGGTGGCGCAGATATATGCACACATTATCCTCATCTTAACGCCATACCGAATCTCACCATTTTCTCATTCTCCCATTCTCTCTTTTCGTACTTTATACTCCTTTTGACTGAATTTCGTTTTCTTCATCTTCCACTTCACTGCCTTCTTACTTGATGTGGTGATGTGAGCTGTGGCTAGTCGCACTGTTACACAGTAATGCCTGGTCTTATCTTGGTTTGGATGGATGGAAATATCCATCCAATTGATTCAGGTATGCAAACACTTGCATAAATTTATATATATATATATATATATATATATATATATATATATATATATATATATATATATATATATATATATAATTCTGTATCATATGTCTTATTATCTTTCACCGTCAGACTGTCTTCTTCTCGATCACTGAAGTATGTAGACTGTATTTCTCTGTTTATCTTATAATTTCTATAGCTTATAAGTAGTTGGTAAAAAGGTGATGAATTACATTACAATCATTGTATACATTGACTGGTTACCGGAAAGCAACCAATTTCATGCTGGCTAGTCCTCACTGCTAACCGAATTGCACTGATCATTTTGCAGTGTAGCCATCAAGTTAGGAGGCTCAGCAAGGCAGGGCATTTTAATGTAGTTCACGGTTGGCTGAAAGATACTAGTTTTCAGCATTGTTAGTCCTTATTTCGTGGTGAGAAACGCTTACTTGTTACTTTACACATAACATACAAACTTAAGAATATTCGCATTCCACAAACAAAGATAGTGCCTTAGAATTTATATGGTTTGCGAACAACTGAAACCTCCTCTGAATATTCAAGCATATATCAAACAGAAGGTGAACGGTTTACAACACTATATACACATATACATTGTGTACCTATTGTAGGTGAACTGAGCGTTTTTGGTTATTCATGTGAACGAAGTCATAACAATGACAAATTAGAATATATGGATAGATTTATTAAAAATTGGCTTCATTCTATCCGATTGAAAGTTATTATTTCAACAACATCAGAGTATTAGTGATTAAGTGAATCACGTTTTTGATTCTTAGTGCACTATTCACTAATTCCTAGTGTTAAAACAAGCTGAAATTCTTACTGATGCTGCATTGTACTCCTTAACGTCATGCGCATTTGTATGCTGGTCTGTGGTTACACCAATCCAAAGCAATCTTGACATAAGTTATAGTGAGGGCATCGAGTGCATTTATATCGCAGTCCACAGATTTGTTCACGTTTGCAACCTTCACAGCGTACATTGTGTCGAACTGATAAAACAAAAAAATTAGCGGGAAAGTTTATTTTTTTTCGAAGCAAATTTTGTGTTAAAACGGCTTGTTCATGAAAAACACCCAATATTTCAGTCAGGCCTATGGGTGGTTTGTTTAAAATGCTGGAGAATATTGTCTGAATATAAATAACCATCAAAAACAACACAACGACACATAAAGAACATATAAATATATAAATATCCCTCGTATACACTTATCCATCTCCACGAACAAACCTTGAGTTTGTCAGAAAAAAGCATCACCAGAATATGGAATACAATGAACAGGAAAAGTTCAGGAAAATCATACAAAATATTAAAAAAAAACAAAACGGCGACAAAAATTTCCTCCCCAAAATATTGAACTTTAAACAAAGAAATAGAACCCCGGATATACATAATCCGAAATATTCCGAAGAGTCAGTTAAATTCTCCTGGAAACACCGCTGATGAGCTTCAAGCCACAAAAGAAAAAAAGACATCCGGTGTTTACTTCACCCCTATCTGGCTAGTGCAATCCCCAGACCCCTCTGACAGTTTTCTAACTACTCATGTTGCTCAGTTGTATATTTCTATAGTTAATGACATTTTTACATCGAACATCATGCCTTGTGACCTTAGCTGACAAGTGGTTTCCAACACAATACTTGTTGACACTATACATGGGCAGTTGCAAAGCTACTCAGCTGTGCGAAATGCCAATATGAACCGACCAATTCGTACACTATTTGTCGATTTATTAGGCTACATAAAGTACACCGGTTCATGCATGTCAGTTATCCCAAATCAGTTGGTCTGCGCCATTCGTCTCTGTGACATGGGTTAGCATTGTTCACTGCTTTTGAGCTGCACCAAGAATGCGGGAAACCTCCATTTAGCAACTAGATCGTCTTTACTTGATTAGGTTTTCCTAACTGGCATCTTGAAAGCTTTGAAACGACTCAATTTTCTGCTTTATATATTTTGATTTACGCAAATTTCCCTCGATTACTGTAAGATTATAGACTGATATCCTCTATTGTACTTACGTGGTATCACGTTTTCACATTTCTACTAACTATTCAGTGTGCAAGTCTAAGAAATACAACTCCTTCTGACTTTCTAACCTTGCTAACGAGTTAAAAATTAATTATTGTTAGTGAAATGAAAGTTTGGGTCGAGGCAAAATTCCAACCTGCAGCCTCCGGACTACCAACTTGGTTCAAATCCCACCACAACCTAGATTTTCATTTCACTTTAAATCACCACTTAGGTATCAATAATACTACGCTTTAAAAAGTAAAATTGGCAAATACGTGTACGATGATACACATGCAGTTTCATGAAAAATGTTACATTTTATACTCTGTTCATAGGCAAAGTCAAATCACTAACAAACAGTTAATTCATGACATAGACAGTTTACGCACACACTTGCATTCGTTAAAGAAAAATTCATTTGCACATCATAAACTGTAAAACGAATTAGAAACACTTTTTAAATTGCATCTGCATCGGAACAGGATTAAAGTCATAACTCTAGATGTCAACAGAGTCAAGTTTGTGGTCTTAACTGCAAAGGGATGGATTTTATAGATAATTTAAGCTTTGATATGCACATCCAGTCTTGATTTGCAGCAAATATAGTTGTGATAGAGAAGTTATCCAGTTGCATATACATTTTCATTTCTGAAAATTTTGTACACATCCATTTGTGACATTATTACCGCATTATTTGAATTCTTCAAATATTTGAAAGCTGCTACCTTTATGTTACTAAATCACAAGGACAGTTTGCAGTTTTAAGAAAATAGCTATTTAGTCTCTGTATGCCAAAATAATGACAGTAATGAGAAAAAGACATTTTGTGATCATTGTTACGACAGAAAATATTATCGGCCTGTTCACAAAGAAGCATATAAAGGTGAGTTGAAATTAGAAGTACTATTCACTATAATAGCATCTAAAATTGCTTTCTTTGTGTTGTTTTGATCTCCAAATGACTCTTGACTTCAAGACTTGGCGCACGATTATGTTATAATACATTTTAAGTTTGATTACTGTTCGATTTAGGAACTTTTCAGCAGGTCAATAAAATGTTTATTCAAAACAAGAGGTCTACATTCCTCATGCAAAAGTGATTTTGTTTCATACAAGAATATTCGTCTAATTATTCTATAATATTGGCAAACTTAGAGCTCTGAATATTTATTCATTCAGTTCACGAGTTTTCAATTACTTCATATCGATGATATCTTTAGTTCAGGCCGACAATTTTCTGTCAAGCTGATACGAGTAGGCAAGCAGTTTGGTGTTAAAATTGTTTTACGTTTTAAGTAGCTGATGAGAAACCATAGAATAAAATGATCTTGTTTACTTATAATACTTGAGGATCCAATGTTGCTTATTATTTTTGACAGTAAATGGAAATATTTGTTGATATAGTTAGAAACCATGGGTAAGTTTAAAAGATGAAATCAAACGAACGATAGTGCACACTTTCAGATTATTATATGTTGCACACAAACAGCTCTTATTGAAAAACGCTTAATCTTTTAACTGGTATTTAGGTCATATCAAAAGATATATGGAGTTGTAAACAAAGTAATTTAATTTATCATGTGCAATTTAAAACGAGGTTCCTCTTTCATGGCAGTAGATGACTGACACGCTACTGAACATAGTGAAACAAAGCTTTATCTTGCTTAGCATACCAGCCACATTTCACTCTTGTTTGATGCACTTTGATTAGTCTTTAGGGTTTGATAGCCACACTGGTTGAAAACTAGCAATAATGTTGCCTAGTCTCAGATATTCATTTTCATGTGAAAGTTGCGATTATATATTGGTCAATATGGAAGACTTAAAAACTAACAACTTGAGAAAGATATTTTTCACGCTTGAAAATAGTGGGTAATAGTGTTGTTTAGTATAACAGGAAGGAAAATCCTAGCAGAAAACTCGTCCTTAAATACTGTATTACTCAAAAAAGTGGTGCAAAGTATTCATGAATCTTACACATAAAAATATAAAAACTGACAGAAATAAATTGCTATAGAACTTCAAGGTTGTTAGTTTTAAGTACTTACTCTACGTGCATCAAGTGTTTTTAACTTTCAGAAATGGTTTTGAGTAGATACTTACCATTTGCAACGCTTGCCAACCGATGGAAAATAGTAAGCCATACTAATACTTGAGGTGCTTGATCAGACAGCATACGATCCAAAAATTCTTCAAGGACTATGTTTTTTGAACGCTTTCCAAATAATTAGAAAGAAACAAGCTAGTTGTAGATAATCACTGTATGATGGGAATTATTGTTGTACACGCAACAGATAAACTGTATTAAAACTGGAAGTGTAACTTAACTGCTTGCATTTTTGATTTTACTAAGATGCAACTAATTGAAACGAATAGGTTATCAGACTAGAAAACTGTTTTAACAGTCAATAAAATAGTAAACCAGGAGGTTGGAAGACTGACTACTTAAGGTAGCTAGAATAAAGATTATAGATCATAAGGATAAAGGACATTTCTCACCGCAACCTAGGATGAGTTTGGAAATGGATGGAAATATCTCGGAGGTCCAAAGTCCTATGTTATAGCTTGCAGATTTGTGAATACTCTCCAGAAAGTTTTGTATTCATCCAAGCAAACTCAAATGAACTACAGGCTTCAGATTACTGCAGTTGCAGACCAAAACTTACCTATTGCTATAATTATTTTTTCCTTGGGTTCTAAGTGGAACGTAGGGCTTCAAGACTTACCTATGACATTGTAATATATATTCCAGTAAGAAAGATATTTGTAAACACTAAATATTTTATTGTGAATTAGCTAGTCTATAAAACATGTATATACAATCTGAAATAAATGCTTGTTTATCATTTGATTATCTGAGATAGACGTAGTTTGGAAGACTAGTATTTATACTGAGTGATGATTGAAGGCGAAATGAAAATTTGAACCGAAGCCAGATTCAAAACAGCGACCACCTGGTTTCCCGCCGATGCTCTGCCCGGTGGTCACTATTTCGAATTCGCCCGTGGTCCAAATTTTCACTTCATCACCCAGTATAAATGCTTGTAATTATGCATTCCATTGAGGTGGAAAAACAATCATGAGAGGGATTCCAGGCTAGAATAAAACGTTTGGCAAAAAATACTTCTATTAGGTCGTAAGTCAAAATGTCTTGTTAGCATATGAACTTTCAGAACGGTTATACTTACTTAGCTGAGGGCTTTTCAGAATAGAGTGAAGGAATAAACATTTCATTTAGGACTTAACTGTTTATGTTAAAAATCCTTTTTCTTACATCTCGTTAGTTGTAAAATAAAAGATAGACACTGTAAGAAGTGTACCATCATTTAACAGCTTTTTATTTTATCAAGGTCCAGGTGAACCATCCGGTGGTATCAGAGTTTATTTTTATTTCCCACAATGCAATTATTGGTCAGTGTTTATAGGTTTATTTTTCTTGAGTAGACTTCTAAACTGGCAAGTTATTAGGTTTATTGTGGTACCTACTTCTATATCAATAAGACATAAGTGTGAGAAAGAGATTCTTCACGTTGAGGATATATCTAGGTTAGTGAGATGGGTACAATAGGCATATTTTTCCTTCTCAGATATACTGCAGTAAATGTATATTTTAACTGATTACTGCGCAAAGCCAAAGCTGATCATGCTGCTTATGGAAGAACTTACAAACATTCTTCGTCAATTGAGCACCATGAATAATGTAAGTAGGAAAATATTTCTTTCTTCAACTTTTTTTCTACAATGCGAACCAGTGTATTGATCGAATTTGTAAAAAAAAACTCTGATACTATAAAAAGGAAAAGAAAACATTCCCAGCTATGGAGTTAGATCAAAGGTGAGTAACTGGCAGATGTATAACCTACGAGTCAGAGGATAATTGCAATCGAGTTCAAGTCGGAACTTGCAATTGAATTACCAAGTATTTGGCACTACATTACTTAACAGTGAACGGTTTATAGTCACATGATAAGTATGATAGGTAATTCTCATTGAAGCTCTTTAGTTAGGTTTGTGCTAAATCACGGTTTAGGAATGAAAAATACTACGAACTTTTATCTTTTCACACATTTATGTTACACGAGTAAGGGTAGTTAAGATGAAGATTACTACGACCGTTTTATTCCTGCTACTACTCATTAACTGGGTACAGTTTCCGGTTGGATGCATCCTATGCTTCTTTTGGAACTGTAGTTTGCGTTGCCAATGAAATGCACAGATGACATTCAGTCAGTTACAAAGATTATCAACTCACATGTTTGGGGAAAGGGTTCCGAAGATTCAGCCTATTTATGGGTTCAGAAAAGTATACTCCATTTCGAATTGTTATTACCTGATTTTTTATTGATTTCAACTCAGAGCTCATAAGTCAGATAGCGTAGTGGTCGAATGATCTCAGTTTTAGCAGAAAATCGGTTATCTCACTTCAAAGAATGATTTAATGGAGATCAGTAGTGAACCTTGACGGTATGGGATAAATCCAGACACTTTGTATTACCTTTGGTTACCTATCACAGCATGTTTCTGAGCAGAAGAAATTGGCATAAAAAGTAGGTTTCATAACTTTTTGATAACCAGCATGCATTCCAGGTTAAACATCTGTTTGCAACTAGATTGATTGTTGAGTTGAATTCCGTCTCAGCTGACTAATATTTCGAAAAAACAAGAGCGGTATCCAACAGAATATTTCGTCTAACTTCTATAACTAGGCATAGCTTATTGGACTGTTACATTTGTACATCAGATCGACATAGATATTTTGTAACATCCCTTTTTAAGCTTTTTCGTACAATTAGTTTGAAGAATAAGACGGTTTATGCCGACTTTTTAAAAGTGTGTGATTCTAAGTTAGGGAGTAGTACTCTAATAGGTTAACACAGAAACGTACTCAAAGTCATTGTATGGGTGCATTGGTTTGACGATCACTAGACAACAACCAATACTGAAAAGCTGTTTATTTTTGCTTCTGAAATATTTACCACAGATAACTTTAACACTTCACTATATGAAGCTTGAATAAGAGGGCCACCTATCAGCAGTCATAAAACTAAGCCTAGGTAATTACCAATATTATTCAATTAGCAGCCCCTTATATTGGCACGAAAACGCCTATTCATCATTGTGACGATAAGATTCAAAAGCTTACTGTGTTAAATGATCACACTAGCAAGCACATATTTATTGTTCATTGGGCAAGTAATAAACAAAGTTTACAAACATTAAATAGACTAATATTAATGAATCCTTACTCCAGTGAACATTATTTGTGCAGCTCGTGGAGTGTAGAAAAAATTCGTGCCCTCAAAAACGCTTATTGGAAGCTTCAATAAATCCTGTAGATAAGCTTCAAATTTCGAAAAAATAAGAGCACCAGACGGATCCGAAAGGAGAGTAAAATGATCTGAAATGCGAGATTAAATTTCTTCATTATTTAGATTTTATGTTGAATAATAATTGTTTCGGAATGTAATTAAGAGAAAAAAAGGCTTCCTTACCATCATTTGAATACTCTATATATAACGTGCTATTATAAAACAGAATGCCAGTGAATATCACCACAGTTATGTTCATTCTTCCTTAGTCGAATATGCTTGCCCTCCTTTTGTACGAGCGGCAAGTTTGCAATACCCCATTCGACATAATAAAGCGTGAAATGCCATAATTGGTCATGTTAGCTTTCAAAGAATTTACAAGTTTCAGTGTGCCTGTGACTTCTAAGACAGAAACCGTTGATAGTTACATTAATTTGTACAATGTTAGCTAGATACTTCAGATTTTAGCAGATAAACACTAGCAGTGAATATTTTCATTGACGTAATATTGGTGTATAATGTTTTAACAAACACTTGCAGGTGTTTACAATTTATCCTGTTATCTTTTCTAAAACAGATATTGCTAGCCCAGTATTCAATCAATATAGAAAACTAGTAAAGTCACAGCAGTTCGGTATGATGCATATTACGTCAAAATATACAATTAACAAATAAAGCAACATTGAAATAGTGACAAACACATGCAGGAAAATTATCTACCTTTTGCAGGGTACACGCAAGTGGAATTCATATTTCAACCACGAGAACAATAGGTTTAAAAGAAAATGAAATGTTGAAATCAATAGAAGCATTTGCTCTTTAACTATATTCATAAACTTTAAATATATTACATCTTTTCTGTAAGCAAAAGAATGTTTAAAACGCCTGAGTGTCTATCCCAGTCTTGAAAAGATATCTAAGGTTATTCCCGAACAAAAGTGAGCAGTCTCAATTTGTCTTCTTCCAGAGTAAGAATCAAAGAAGACTGAATCGACAATGTCATCGTCTACATTAAAAAACAAATGTTTGTTACTTCATTCGATAATGAATGCTTTCTATAAGTGTAAGTAAGTGGAAAATGAGGTTAGGAACAAACAAAATCGTAGCTCTAGAAATCCCCCATTATGAAGACTAACGAGACACGTAAGCGAACAATATTGTTTCCAATTAGATCTCATCAGGCTTCACTCTAATATACATAACTTTCAACATATCAACCCATCAAGGTAATTTGTGGAACAACAACAACAAGGAATACGGATTGTAAAAGGTTAGTACGAATGTTCATAATGACACGACAATGTAAAAGGTGTTCAGACAAACATACAATGTAGGTCAATGACAGAAAACAGAAAACGACGGTAAGGTTATGTGATATCGGCGGTTGAAGGCGGTAAATAAATAAGAGTTGAGTAGGAATATAGTAGTGTGAAAGGGGTGACAACAAAATGAAGTAAAATAAAAAGTACATTTTAAGATTCATAAGTAAGGTCACTCATTAAGTTCTCCCTGGCCAAGGCAGGCTGTACAAATTTCTTCTGGATACAGAGCTTTGGATTGTCTATTCGAATTTCTATAGCCTCAGCTGTATGTAAAAGGTGGATTCGAACTACATCGTAAAGGTGTGGTGATATGCGGTAAATCACCTTGAACGCTTTCGTCTTATCTACTCCGTGATCACTATCAACTAGATGTGGAGAAATAGAGCTTCTTATAGATTTGACCTATCCTTTACCCAGCCACGAAGATAGGTGTTCCCCAATACGTTGGTTAAGTTGCTTGGTCGTACGACCGATATAACTATCTCCACAGGAGCAATTAAACTGGCAATATATGGAAGTGGCGAAACTAGGTAACTTGTCCTTCGTTTGATACGAAACAAATCTTCGACTAGAAAACGACAGACAGAGGTTCGCTGCATAAAAAGTTCTTTTAATGGTTCTCGACAGTCTAAGGAATAGAATTTCACTAAGTATATCCCATTAAATTGTAGCTTTATGAAGTGTTTTTTTTCTAGCGGTTGCTGCTTCAGGTCTTTTCACTGGTCTATTCATATCTTTTTTTATAAAATTGTGAGGATAACCTATTTCCATTATTGAATTCGAAATCCACTCTAACTCACTCTGTAGAGTGTCATCTGAGCAGATTTTCACTGCCCTGGTTGTCAAGCATCTCACTAAATTTCCTTTGTATCGTATAGGAGCAAAACTAAGGAAGTGTGTATTGAAATGCAAATCTGTTTCTTCAGTACACGCTTGTGTGAAGTGATCCATCTTCTCGTCTGCTTAATAGAACATCAAGGAAATATTTGATGAATCTGCTTGAGATACACCGACTAACCTTCTGATTTTCTGATCATACAATCGTTCATTTCACAGACAAAATCAACACAGATAGTAGCAGGCAAATAATACCTTGAGTTATTAGATGATTTTAACTTTTCATGAGGTATCTTCCATTGAAGTAACAGTGATAAAGCTTTTGTTGAATAGCAGAGCTTATTTTGTATTAGGTATCGGTGACTCAGAAATCTCAGATGCATGTTATGTAGTACCAGCTCAGCTGTCCAACTTCATAAGGTAGATTGTTTGATGGCTTACGCCTTACAAAAAGTAGAGTGAATTAAATTTGTTTTTATTCTTCTCCTGACTCCACAGTATTGGATGTCTACATCGAAAACGATAGTAGCTAACATCGGATGCAACAGCTATGTACGCAATAAAAACTTACTACGGATAAGTAGTCAAATGAGGAGCTCAACACTTATACCTATCAACTCAGATCAAATCATAGTAAACATAGGATGGGTGGATTCAGCATCGCAGACGCACCTTGTTTATCAGTCACGATGAGAACCTAAATTGAAGTGACAGCTTTCTCTTGAATTTAAACATCTATTTAAAGTATAGCCGTAAACAAGAGCTGAATAAGTAGTTATTTCGGTTAATTCTGATTTCAATTCATTATTCATCGTAGACTGACATCAGTTGGAGGAAGAAAGGAGACGTGGGAGCACTGGACAGCTGTTTCGTCCTAATGTGGGACTCTTCAGCAGTGCGCACCCACGACCCCGCCCTCCAGGGATCGAACCCGCGACCTTCAGGTTCCGCGGCCAGCGCGTTACCATTGAGCCACTGGGTCAGAATCCAATCCTCCATATTTCCAACTTTTGTTAGCTCACGATATGGCGCAACCACCACCCAAAGTCATCATTGAGTAACTGTCCTCACGACCATCAGGCTTTGACTCCACCGGTCACGACTTCTCATTAGAATTTAATTCTATATTAGATTTGTTTATTTGATTTATAACACATAAAGTAAGTAACACTATATCACTGTGCATTATAAATCAAATAAACAAATCTAATATGGAATATATTTTCTCAATCGGGTCATGATTATATTCACTGTCAACACTCAAGAAAGAAATTTCCCAACTAATGAAAAAGTGTTAATTTATCGAAAAGGTAGTATGGTGTAGTTATTTTAACTGAATTCTTTGGAATTCTAAGTTACGTATCTTCTGTGTATTTACAGTTTGTTGGAAGATAAAAAGATTTAAGTAATATGGAATGAGTACTTAGACGAACATTAGTCATGGGTTTACCTGCGCTTCCTTTCGAACTATTTGGAAACATGCTCGTTTAATTTTTTCAGCCCGAATTCTGCTATAGAGTTATGTCGGACAATCAAAATCTTGGTTGACTAGTATTTGTGTGTTTTGTCGCTTTTTGTTTTTCCAGAGACTTATCTAGCCAAACTGAGTTCAAATGTGAGTTGGTATACGTGACTTAACTACCTAAATTGATGAAGGTTGACACCCTTATCAGATGACTTACCTTAAACAAGTGACACCATTTTAAACCCTAAATGTTGAATATTCTTGCCTCATAACTGCATAGTCGAACAGAAAATACTATTACGCAGTAGATATTAGGGACCCAGATGCCTTGATAGTGAATGACTTACGTCAGTGGAAATCAAGTGAACTTTCAATGTCAATTTTTAATATATTCCTCACCACCAAAGGACCATAGCATTTGTATTTCTATTGTAAGTTTTCAGTAAACATTTATCTAAATTTACAAATACTTATTATTTTAGTGTTATTGCCCATCATTACTATACTTATTATTTAACTAAAATGTATACCAAGCAAAGCAATAGCATATAAATGTAGTTATTCCGTCAAACAAGTGAGGAACAATCATTCGTACTTACTTTGAGTATATTTGAAGACGTAAAACAATAAATTTCGTACTTTTGTTTATTATCATTTGCTTGTTTTTCGCTTTGAGGTAGGAACAAAAATCAAAACACTAGTTGATCCTGTTTGTTAACTTGAACCTCTCAGACAAAATTTAATCTCACTCTTTCCTTAATAGAAGCTTAAATCCCTATTATTGCTATCATTTTTGTGCTATGCGGTTCAGTTTCATTAATGTATAAGTTTTCAGCGGTAGAAACAGACAATGAAACAAACAATCAAGCGTAGGTGTTTTTGTGAAATGCATGTGCACAGATGCGAAAGCCTTCCAAGTATGATAAGAGAAGTGAAATAAAGCTGTCATATAAAGCCACGTTTTGAATAACACTTTTAATAAAGAGATGTGGGCCTTTAATATATTTTGAGTCTGCCAGTACTTTTGACTAGATTTAGTTCCCAGATTGTCTTACCTCACTGTGCATACTAAGCATTGTCCATCGCTTTTTATTACTTAAGGCAAGTCAATTCTATCTCCCTCTAGCTGGATTTCTCACTTAGTTACCCCTCTCTCAGATTGAAGGGTAATAACCCCACCTTATTTAGGCAGCGATATAATAATAAGTCTGGTTATTAACTAACACTTTTACCATCAGTGTATTATTGAGTTACAAACATCTATTCAATTATTAATACTGGGTGATAATTGGAAGTGAAATGAAAATCTGGGTAGCGGCAGGACTTGAACCCTCAGATTGTCGTTCTGATTGAATGGACTTTTGCAATCAAATTTATGCACTCTTTTACGAGGCGCTTTGTAACGATCTGTCCGAAGACTAAAGGCAAAACTATCAACATCTGGCTGTTACACATTAATGTATGATGAAACATGAGCAGCAATATATTATTTGAAAATTTTGCGGCCGTTCATGAAAAGAACGCTGTTTCCATGAGAAGTTGTAGAGGTTATTTTATGTAACTATTTATCAGAAATTCTTTTTATCATGGATTGGGTGTCAGCAAGGGAGCTGCTGAAAACTTTGAAGTGCTCAGTTGCCATTTTGTTCTAGTTTGGTACTACTGTTGAGCAGTAACCACTTCCAACATTTGTGAGATTTTCTCCCTAAATGACCACAATCCAGTTAATACATTAGGATCGGGTGGTTTATTTTTGTGATTGACAAGACCATCATCATTTCAAGTGATTGGTGAGAAAAATCATAACAACTAAATCGTAATTATCATAGTAATTTATCAGCACTTTTACTGCGGATTAACTTACATCGGAATTTTTCAGCTGGCCTTGCATTCGTTAACGTTGATAAGGCAATTTTCAGCCCAGTTACACTGAGACGTCCAGTAGCGCATAAATCGAAGGCGTAACCAAGCCAGCCAAGTAAAATTTCAGCAGCCATAATAAGCACAGATCGATCAACTGTGTTACCAGATTGTGTGTCATCGGTCGGATTTTTTACATTTAAATTACTTGTAGGTATATATGAATAGATACGCGATAACAAACGAAATGTACCTGCGTAATCTAAACTTGCTTGAGGATCATTCAAATGATGTAAACCGAACTCTCGAAAGGTTTCTACCACCTTCCATAAATCCATTATGTTAACTGTATAGAAAAGACGAATAGGAGAAAGGAACGTTAGGAGATGGCGTTTTTTTCAAAGGTCCAATGAGACCAATGCATATAATATTAGAGGAAATGAAAAGCAACACCGTCAAGCAGATCTATTTTTAAGTCATAAGTTGGAACGTAGACTCAGTACCTGTTACCGGTTCACAGATGAAATACTACGACTTCAATGAAAAGTTAAGTGAAGAGCTATGCGAAGAAATACTTTAGACTGGTGACATTACATCTATATTTACGAGGAATCGCCCACCCAGTGGCTTAATAATCACCCGTTCTCTACAAAACTTGACGACTCTGATTTCGAAACAAAAAAATTATTGGCTGCAGTGATTTATACTAAATCCATTAGCCATAAAAAACGCGATCAAAAAGTATTACTGAGTCCAGACATACTGCCACAAGGATGGTAATGTTGACCAGAGAACATAATGCCTATAGAAATGGAATATTTTGCGTTATGCTAACACACTGTACACCGTAACCTACTTCTGTAGTTGATGAAACAGTATAAAAGTTGAATTTGAACATTATTTTCAAGCATAACTGCATTCAGTTTATTTGTTAAATAAATTGCATAATGAAATAGTGTCTTTCCACTATTGAATGCTTCAGACTAACTACATTTGTGTGTGCAAAAACTGTGACTACTGAGCATGTGAATTTCAGTAGGTTAAAAGTTAGATGAATGAACTGACATTCGTATCCTAGACACAACAACAAGACTCCACTAAGGAGGAAGGTGAATCTACTCTTAGTCTCTATCCCAAGGTCAGTTACCTGCAACTTAGTGTATATGACTCTGTGTGTTTGTATTACATCACGTGTATGCATTAAGTTTATCTAACTTCCCTCAACCTACTCAATCCCAACTGTTTATGCTTGCCAAAAGATGAAAAAAGCTGTTGGATTTTCGCTCCTACATAGACAGGAGGAGAGAAAGGGAAGGCAGCCTATGCAGGATACCTAGACGTTGGGATGCAAAAGTCAATCAGCCATATCTCAATCAATAAATTATGTGAACTAACTATAACATTTAGAAAGTTTTACAATATGGAACTTCAAAACATTTGTTCGTTGATGAACAGAAATAAAAGCAAGATGATTGCAAAAGTAAACTAATTTTGATGTCATGCTTAAAAATATTGACTTACATGTTCGAGGGTAAATTTAGGAATGTAATCGGTAAAAACAAATTTCATGAAAAAAGGTTCAGATTCTGGAAAAATGGTTTGGATGCCGACTATGAACTGATCTAACAGATAGAGTGAAGACAGGACAATCGGTCAGCTACCGACAAGCTAGAGCTTGTTTTCTACTTAGGGTAAGCCGCGGCTGCATTTGTACCTTGGAGCAACTAAATTCTTTTTCAGTCACGAATCCAATTATTAAGTGCTTTTTACTTGTTAATTCATCACACTACCCTTCTTTATGAATTTGCTTTCGAAAATTACAAAAAGCTTACCCATAATTTTCGTGAAACTTGTCATCAGGGTAAAAGGAGAGTCAAATACAGCTCAACGAGCAAAGGTAGTACCGCTCAACTATGTCAGGACTCAAAATGACTATTCACAGAATAGTTTTCTGGAAGAAGATGCTAAGATGACATTTCGTAATAAAATGCCACTTCACAAAAATCTGAGTTCACAATGTTTGATTTGATTAGACGTGAAAAAAACCCACTGTCAATTCACAGAAATACATAAGTCATAGACATGTGGTGCATGTGCTTTTTGTGAAACTGCGTTGGTACCACACTAGATTATGTCTTCGTATGGCTTGAAAACAGCTAACTTCGGAATTTGTCCTATTTACTGTTATAAACTGTCAAATATTGTGATTTCAGTCTCATAAATGTTACCGTTATTATGTATATTACCAATGTTTGTTACTGACTGAATGTTTTGTTCAGGTACAATTTCCTGGGAACTGGTACATAAATTTTTAAGATTATTGTCCAGCAGTAATTTTGTTTTTGCATGATTACTTTCTTCTTGTCAGAGGTTTAGCTTTAGTTTTTAGATTTTGTCCTCTTAATTATAGATTTTAGTGAACACACTTCAAATGTAAGCATTGATTTCAGTGTGGTTTTCTGTAGAATCTCATATTCAAGCTTGAATCTTTTCGTGTTTCATTCGGGTTGTCCATCATTATTCTCGGATTCCTAATTGAATAATAAAGCATTTACTATAAGCTTCGTTCCAATGGAATATTAAAAGTATTTATGTCATTTTCAACGATATAAAGTGAGGCTAAATTTATATGCAGCACTAAACTTACATAATGTTCGCTGTTGAATAAACCGAAGTTTACTTGCAGTACGATAGGCAGCGAAGCGAATTGCATCAAACTGTTTTGCGCCTAAAATTAAAGCGAAATAAAGGTTTGAAATATAATTAACAATGAGCATGTGTAAACATAAATGAATTGTTAAAGCTGGACTCAATAATTCGTTTCGTTTATAAATATTTCTTTTAGCTTCATCCCTTGTCATTCTACTACGGAATAAATGTTGCCATTCAACTTTGAAATGTGTGAAAAGAGTCGACTTTTGAAGCTGTCAGCACAGTGTAAGAAACTGTTGAACACTTAGTCGAAATAACTAATAGCCAAAATATGTAACAGACATATGCATTACAGTTATTTGAAGTTTGTTTCAAATGAAACCATAACAGTCATGCTACCTAGTTTTAATCACAATTGATATAGAGGGATCCGTAAATGGAGATCATGCAACAATCACCTCAGTACTATGAAGTTAATATTCGGGAATATAAAGCTCCGATGAACAGAAAGTGCAAGCTATTGGATCCCGACCCAGTAGGTAAGGGCTGATGTGTTCGTCATGAGACCTGACATTCCTGGGTTTGATCTTACAAGAAACTATGGACGCACGTAGCTAAGAAAGCCCAAACTAGGACAATACTGTTGTTATGTGCTCCTAGGTTTACAATGGTTCTCTAACTGAAGTCAACCCGTGATGAAGGTGCCTTGGAAGTAAACGCTTTTCTATTTGACTTTACAAAATGTATCTGAAAACAGAACCCAACCCAACACAACTATCCTTAATTCCACGGCGCCACATCATACACTGACCCCACCTCTACTTCTTTCATCCACTCCCAGGGTTAGCAAACAATGAACGGTGTGGAAGCGGCTAGGACGATATGTTTTACACATGTCCAAGGCACCAAAGCCGGTGTTTTCAGACGACTTAACTTAGTGAATGAAGATCTCCATCATGCCCAAACACAACCCTGGGTACCTCAGGACTACTAACATGGTGTTACCAAAATATACGAGCAATCCTACGAAGACAACGGTGATCAAACACACAGTCGTTCCATATCCACAGCTAGGAGGCCAGATTTCACAGGTGTAGAGCAGCACTGCTCGCATAGGAGCGTTGTCAACTCGCTTGCTTCACATAGCAGAAGTAATTGCTATCTACCTTTAAAAACCAAACCATCACCCACAACTCGTCCAGAAATACCATCAACCACCCAGCCACAGAACTGCCAGTGAACACGAGCCCTCCGACAAAAGCCGAAATCCTGAAGGCCATAAAGTTGCTGAAATCCGGGAAAGCAGCAGGACCGGATGGAATTCCTCCAGAAGCACTGAAAACAGACGCAGACACAACAGCGGACATGCTCACACCACTACTGCAGAAAGTTTGGAAGGAAGGAGAGGTACCTGCCGGTTTATTGGATGAAGAGCTACCTTGTCAAACTCCCAAATAATGGAGACCTAAGTCTTCGCAAGAACTGGTGCGGAATCATGCTCCTGTCCACCGCAAGCAAAATATCAATCCGCATCATCCTGGAGAGACTCAGAAAAAGGTCTGTATTCAAAATTACGACCGGAACAGGCTGGCTGGTTGGCTTGAGGAAGGACAAATCATGTGCGGATTAAATTGCAACGCAACGCAACGCAACGCTACGCTACGCTACACATCATCATAGAAGAGAGTATAGAATGTCTGTCAAACTCCCTACGTCAACTTCATCACTTTTGAAAAGGCCTTCGACAGCGTCGACCGAGAAGTAATCTGGCAGGCAACTGCTTCAACACTACAGTTTAGTGCGACAAACCTTTATGAACCTCATTAAACCGCTATATGCTATATGATGCTACATGCCATGTGATTCACAATGGAAAGCTTAGTGACTGACGCCTTTGAAGTGAAGACAGGAGTAAGTCAAGATTGCCGCCTACTATCCACCGATGATCTTGCTGATTGTGGTCGAGTGGACTGGACTGACTGGACTGGATCATGCAAGAAACTGTGAGGAGCGAGAAGATGGGCATATGCTAGCTGGACCGATGAAAAGAGCCTAGAAGATTTGTATTTCGTCGGTGATTTATGTCTAATGTCGCACAAGCTCTAAGATCTGCAGGCAAAATTCATGAAGTTGACAGAATAGGCAATGGAGATGGGACTTCAGGTGGACGTAGAGAAGACAGGTGATGAAGATACCCAACCAACAACAAGAAGCACCAATCACCATGAACGGGAGAAACCTAAAGGAAGTAGTCTCTTTCACCTACCTGCCTAAGCAGCATCGTTTCAACTGCTACAGACGCACAGATGAGCACGTCAAAGCCAAGATCGGAAAAGCAAGACAGGTCTTCACTAATCTGAAATCAGTGTGGAGGATCCTCTGCACTCCACTCAACAAAATAACAAGATCCGGATTTTCAACACCAATGTCAAGTCAGTGCTTGAGTGTGATGGTCCAGAGACTTGGCGCGGCGCGGCGCGGCACGGCACGGAAAGCGCTCTCAATAAACTAAAGATATTCATCAACAGCTGCCGCCTACGCTTACTCCATACTTAAGATCATATCAGATGGCCAGAAAGAGCAAGCAACAAGGAACTCTGGGTGGCCGGGCAACGAACCAACGAAGCAAGAACCCATTGCCCAATGAATATGCAGAAGAAAGTGGAATGGATTGGGCATACACTGAGAAGACCGACTAGGGACATCACGCGCGAGGCCCTCGAGTGAAACCCGTATGGGAAATGACGAGTTGGGCGTCCGAGGCGAGTGTGACATGGAGGAGATTATGTGAGGAAGAAATGAAAGCTTCTGGTCAGTCGTGAAGCCAGGTTGGAAAGACTGCAGAGAACAGAGTGCAATGATGACGTGCTACTGAAGCCGTATGTTCCACTAGGAACCCAAGGGATAAATAATAATAATAATATGTACTTTTCTGATTAATCTTTAAATTCGGTCAGCTATCTGGAGTATGCATCAGAAAATTTGTTTATGGACGTTTTATAAACGCAAATAAAGTACTAAGAGATCCCACCGAGTATCATAATATTGATTTAATGTTGGCTATTCCTTCGATAGTGTCACGATGTTTAAATTGAAGCAGTAAACAGCTTTTTAATACCTTTCCTCCCGTATTATCTCTCATAAAAATCATATATCTATAGGTTACCAAGGTGACAGGCTAAAATTATTTCAGAGAATGTGGAGTAAAACAATAATATATCCTATCTCATAACACTCATCTGTAGTGAACACTTAGGCAACACTGACTGTCAACAATTATAAAGTGAGTAACAGTCTTTATAATTTTTTAAACTTTCTCTGTCACATACGCGAACATACGTGAACGAGGTCGTACAGGTGCTTTGTGATGAACGCTGTAGATCTACTTATTGCTACTTTTTAACGATATATTGAAATCACAAACACCTATTGAACTTACAGTACACTTGAAAAAGTGCGATTAAAGTATAATGGACATTGCAAGGGAGGATACTTAACAGAAGGTATTTCAAACTATTGTAATAAATTGGTTATATTAATCAAACCATAGTGAGGAGACATCAAAGTTTCCAAGTGTTCGCGCACTTATTCTTGGAAAATAGAGTATGCCGGTTTATTTCAAAATTACTTATGACACTAAGTGAACCTATAAGTTTGCTTTATATCCATACTGCAGGTTAAATTGAAGGCTGTTGAGAATCTATAGAACAGACAGATAAGGGGAGAAACTGTATTTAGACTTATACTCAACAAAATATGTACTCAAAATGTCATACCGGCTATGAATACTATGAATAAAATAACTGAAAGGTATCTGTTCCATCTTGGCAGTTATGTGAATTAAGTCTGCCTTCTGATAGTACTGAACAGGTGTATACAAGTTGCAGAGAATTCTCACTTAACAGTGATACCTAGCATGCTAAATTTCCAACCTAACCGTTATTAATTCACCACACTGATACGGAGCATAAAATAACCCACTTGAGCCAAAGTGTGGTGAGTTAAGAAACTGGTGGTGAATGTAAGTAACTATACCCAAAAATAGGTGAAATTACTAATGTCAAATATAAGTGGTCTAGGAGGAAAATTTCCAGAGCTCTAACCTGAGGAAGTCAGCCTTAAATTCACCACCCATTTACCATTCTCCGCCTATTTATCGTTGTCCCAAAACTATTTGGCATATTACTTTCAGAAGAAATACTGTCTCACTTAAGAACACTTCAAATGTGCGTGTCTCATCACACAGAATTGAAGGTTCAATGTTCCTACTGACGAACCCTTTTAAACCCAAAATAGCTAGACGGGAGGTATTCAAGATGTAGAAAAAAATAAATCATTACTTCTTTCACAGTTCTCCTGTAGTGAGAATCAAAGTGGGAAAATTCTCTTCCTTTCTTAATGCTTATTCAAGAGATTAGTAATTTTCAAAAAATAAACCTACGCATTTCAGCTAGCAGTCTTCTAAATCCCAGTGAGGCTGGATTTGATGAGATGAGATTTGAATTTTGTAGACCACTTCTTATCAGTTCGGTTTGTATTATATTTAAGGAGCTTTGTAAAATAGGAGTAGAATATAGTGGTTGTTGCTGTACCTGTTGTTGATGTTGTTGTTGTAACATTATTTGCGGTGAATGACCCAAATTTATCAAGTGGGAGGGAATCACTGATATAGTACTTTGGTCTGTATGCATTGATGATTCACTGCAATTTGGTCTAATCGATGCTACTGAGTGATTGTCAATATGCTGTGGTCTCATCATATAAGATTGATATTCAGGAAAAGCTTTGGTTATTTCACTAGTTTTAACTTAAACTTGGTTTATTTATTATATTCTGTAGACAGTGATATTCATTGTCTCTATGTAAAAATGCATTTTTATTTTCTTTATTCCATTTCCACCTACAATACAAATATTATATAGTTTATGAATAATAATTGAAGCAGATTTAAAAAGTAAGCTACTTAATGATCAATTAACAATTAATTCAACAAACCCACACTAACGAATCTCTGATTGTATGCCAAAAGATGTAGAGTAGTGGCTGAATGGTATAAGCACACATTTCATCTAACTAGTCACGAATTAGCAATCATTTGAACCTCCTCGTAATTGAGCAGACAGTCAGCAAAGTCATCTACTACGAAACAGACATAGCATTTGGTCTCATGTAGGGTTATGATATATATATATATATATATATATATATATATATATATATATATATATCAGTTGACTCCACCAAGTGCACTTTTATGTTTCTGTTTATCAGAAGAATTGCCTCTGAACAAGAAAAAAACGAAATTATTATTATCGTTATTAATGCTATTATTTTTAACTGGACTTTCCTCCCGTCTTGTTATAATAAACCTTTAAAATTCCTGTTAAAATTAAAGAATGGCAAGTTTTCACTCCAGTGGGAGCATGTGTTTATCTAAGGAGTGTCGTGAAAGATTACGGGGAGGGCCACATAGGGCATCCGTAGACTTTCTCTTTTCCATGCATTAATATAACTTCTTATGGTCTGCTTTAAGCTTCTGGACAAGATTTATCTGGAACAACCTCCTATCCACTCAGACTTCGCTAGTACATTGATTCCTCACAGCCATATATGTACTATGATCTGACTCTTCCCTGAAAAGCTCCCACTTGTACCATGCTTTCCTCTTGGCTTTCAAGAGACACTCAGTGTCTCATTTTAGCCACGAGGTCCGCTTTCTAGTTGCTATTGCCACTACGGGGACATTTTCAGAGACCGATCTATTATTGATGTCCCTTACTAGTTAACCGCTCGCTGATTACCAGGTTGAACACTCCCATAGCACGATCACTTCTGTCAAGAGTAGTTTGATTCTGGACGTTTTTCACCAGGAGATTGTAACCAGTTAGAAAATAGTTCCGTTTTGATGGCCTTCCACTTGACCCCCAGCGAGTGTCATCGCCGAATTTTGATGGCTTTTAGCAGCTTTCGATCAAACATTTGGCGTTAGGTTGATCTGTTCTGCTTCATGGTAACCTAGTCGTAATTCATATTCATTGCTGAGGATATAAATTGGAGTAGTTGTCGGTTTTGTTTCACGTTGCTAGTATGGGGTCAATAGATTCCTCCCACCATACTTACGGTTTGACCATAAAGTGTTATCAGACTAGGTCCCAGAGCTACATATATACGGTGTCCTTAGCTCGCTTACCTTTGAGCTGGTCACTCACAAACATTGGTACTCCACCCTCCTTCCTGTTTTCCCTGTCTCTCCTGAGCAGAAACACAGTCTTTACTCGCTTCAGTGTCGTCAATATCCAACGATAACCAAATTCTTGTCAGAGTTCCAATTCTCGGAGCAAGGCAATAGAGGAATCGTAGCTCCGCCATCTTAGTCCCACCTCACTGCTGTAAAAACACTTAGAGGTGCTTCTCACAAAGTGGTGTTTTAGTGGTGGGTGGACAGCAGTAGTGAAAGTCGTTACTGTCTGACCAGTTCCAATGAAACCGGCACAGTGGGGCTTTTTGCCAGAATAGTTTCCATAATCATTAGTGAGTCAGGGTTATCGGTGTAGTAATTGTGGCCTGAGTACGAATAGAAAAGGTCATTTGCTGTTGTGGCAGCGTTATGGGTCTACCCTCACGAAAGTGAACATTCCCACTGATTATGCCCTCAAATGTGCACCATGTATGCAGTACTCTGGTTAGAAGCTCCGAGTATCTGAAGTTGACAGTCACCAAGGCACAAATTTTTAGATGCAGGGTACGTGGGAACCTACAGACTGACATATCTGCAATTTGTTCAACTCTGTCAATGCGATGACCACTCCAACTGTCGAACATCATGATTAGATTTTTCTCCCGGGGTACCAGCTGTTAGTTCCAGCATTCCATGGAAGACCACGGTTTGGACACCGACTATGGTCGACCTGGTATAGCCCTTATGCTGAATGAGTGTGAAAAAGCAGGATGAATTTCTCAGCCTCCATACTCGAGCCCAAGGTGATTCTCATCGGTGGAGTTTCCCTAAAGTTAAATGACTACCTGTGCAGGGCCAAACACAGTTTTGTTTGTAGATTGATCAGCCCTAGCGTGCAGAATACGGCGTCTAAGTGCGATTTGTTGGAAGATTAATTTTTCTCAAGACTGTCACTGCATACAAAAAGGTTAAATAAGATGACTTGGTTTGACCGGCAATCGATATTTGCGACATCGTGCTGTAGGTAAAATTTCATGGGCAAGTCATACCTCCTTTTCCACGATGTCCACCAGTGGCATTAGCCAGAGTGGTTTCAGAGCACAAAACTGATGTATTTGACCTTCTGTTTGGCAGTCGGTTGGCTTTCTTTGGGTTTCTCATACGTATAACTGTCCGTGGAGCATCACTGACAGTATAGTTTTAAGACTCCCTTTCATGTCAGTGACTTGGGCAGATGCCTTCATTTGGGTGACTACTGTAAAGCCTTTCATGGCTTTCCTAGAGGAAGCTATATCTGGAAATGTTCTCATGCGGTACGGCGTGCTGATGTATCAGAACAGGCAGACTGGGGTTTACGCTGTGTGCAACTTAGATCTGCAATTCGTTAACCAAATACAGGTATTTGGAATGCTACGACGAAGAGAGATTTGTTTTTTGGGGAGTGTTGGTATCCATGATCGTTAGATTAAGTTAGACCAAGATGATGAGCTAGGATTCTTCAAGCCGTTTTTTACATCTCTTAGCTCGACTGAGATGCTGCTGAAAAAGGAATGGTCAGTAACGGTGGTGAAGCTACATTTGAGGTATTTGGGGTAGGACAGACCTTGCCAACGCACTGTCAGTGCGTATGTCAAGAAGTATATCGTAAAAACAAGGAAACAGCAGACAAAAATGTGTCAATCAAGTGAAGGTTGGATAATTCATGGTAATCTTAAAAATAGGTTATCTAGTTGTATGACTTTGACGAATGCCCAAAGCTACACAGATCCAGGGTGTATGGTAGAGTGAGATATATACTTCTGCAGATGCAGAAGCCAGAGCTATAATAGTTAATTGATACAGCTGGACCTACCACACAATTGTTCGTTTGGAAAGTAATGAAAGTAACGAAGTGAGGACTGCATGTTCCACAGAAAATTCGCTGCAAAACTATGGGTTTAGATAGCTTTTCACGGTATCAAAAGACTCGAGCTACTCTAATGCACTAATTACCGTTTGAAACTTAATAAGATAGTTAATTGGGCGTGAAAGTATTTTAGACAAACCAGCCCAAAATTTGCAAACGAAAAAATTCAGACATCAACTGTAACCTTCAGAACTGAGCAAGTAAACTGAAAAGACCCACAGCAACCGAAGGGGTACAACCGAACAAAAAGAACCGATCCTCAAGATGCAGACTCAAGAGTTCAAAAACTGCAAGTTTCCTCTACTCGCACTATTGATGTTAGTTGTCGGACAGCGGTTTTTGTAGCCTAGCGTAAACTGAACTAAATTCACATACAGATTCAGATCTGTTGTTTGAGGATAGAAGGCTATGAATTCCTTTTTCAGTAAATTTCTGTGACTGTCTGGCCCCTTTCCGAACATCCAAAATCAACAGTGAGAGGGTAGGAGACGGATGGCTTACGATCTCTCGTGTCTAGTTCTTGGGGCTTGGTTCTTGCTGTTCGGCTTGCTACTGTAGTGGAAAAGGAAATCTCTTCTGCTTTCCCGCTTTTAGCTCCTGTGAGATGGATGTTTTGTGGGTTGGTATTTGTAACTTGTAGACTGAGTCGGGTAGAGAGCCATGGGTTGCTTGGATGACTCCTGTCTGTATAGGTGCCCTAATAAGAATAGCAAAACAATGGGAAAAGGTATATGGACATGAGAGTAAACCTTGAGCATTGTGGTATAATGTAGTCCCATTTTAGTCTGTTTATTAAAAATGTCATGTAGTAAAACAGTATCATTTACTGGATGACGTTTCAGACAATTTATTGTCTATATATATTCATATCACAATAAATTATATTCCAAACATTATCCATCAAATGATACTGCTTCACTATGTGACGTTTCTAATAAACAGACTCAAATGGAAACCTGAAGATATTATTCCAAAAAGTGAAATAGCACTAAGTTCAGTGGGAGGTGATGTCCGAACAAAATGCGCTCCAACGCTTAGGCGACGGAAGAAAACCAAACAAAATTTACCGAGAGCAGAAAGGGAAGCTTTGAAGAACCTTTGGAATGACAACAATGTAGTAATTGCTAAGTCGGACGAAGGCAACTAACTAGTGGTATTAAACAAATCTGGTTGCGTTCACAAAATCAAGGAACATACAGAAACACGACAATATGAAGAAATTAAGAACTAATAGACACCATTATGATTAAGGTTAAAAAAACCACGGTGGATCTGATATGTTGAATAGAGCCATTTCTATGTGAATCGAAATGGTTTAAATTAATGCCGAAAACTAATAACCCCAGTAAGATTTATGGTACTATTAAAATTAATAGGCCAGGTTATCATATTAAACCTATAGTACACTTTAGAAACATCCACTTACGACTTATCTAAATATTTAGCGATGGTACTAAGTTCAACTGAAAACCGTTCTAATCGAGAACTACTAATTCTTATGACTTGAAGCACAGATTACATGACAATGAAAAAACGGTTAGTTTTGATGTAGTTATTTTTTACACTAATATGCCGATTTCGATAGCGTAATTAGAAGACGAAGTTTATCTGAGCAATGTGATGTATTTGCGCAATACATTTCGAACAATGTGATCACACATTTACTTGTCAAGTCAATATATATTAAACCGAGGACTGGGAGGAGGGATAAATACAACAATTAACACAGTAGGGGATTAAAATTAAGAAAGATGAGGACAAGTAGGGAGTGACATAGTTGATCCTAATCGTGGTAAGAAAACAAAGTTTACCAAGGTAGGTGTAGTGTAATAACAAACTGTTTTTGTACACATAAAGGTGGTTTAAATTTGTGTATGGCTATGGCTTCCGCAAATCTCAGAATACGTCCCTGACTGTTTCTATACAAAACTTTGAAAGCTGTTTGAACACTAACTTTGTGACCTATTTCTATGATATGTTTAGCTATAGATGAAGAGGGTCATCTCCCACCAGCGTTTATCACTGTTTCACACTCCATTTGTTTTTGAAGCCATTTAGGCACATGTTCTCCTACCCTCAACTTCATAACTCGATTACTCCTCCCTATAGTGTATGTGTGACCATACACATATGTAAATTGGTATACACAATGGGATGTGACGTAATCACTAATGCAGTGTTTAGGTTTTTGGTGAAGCATGTGTTTTGTTTTCTCCACAATGGTAAGATTCGCTGCGTAATACGTTTTTCTAAATAGACTTAACGCTGTACAAACACACATCAGCCTGACATGTGAGAAAAAGAATAGTAATCAACTGCCATTCCTAGATATACTTCTCAGTCGACGAGAAGATGGTTCAATAAGACGGTCAGTTTACAGAAAGCCTACATGGACAGGACAATTCCTGAATTTCCACAGTTTTTATCCAATCCAATACAAGCGAGGTTTCAGTAAAATGCCTGTTTAACAGGATCTATCGTATCAGTACACCAGATGCGATTGATGAAGACATCAAATTACTGAGCACAGCACTTATGGAAAATGGATATCCGACGAAGTTTATAAACCGTTGTAGAGGTCAAGTAGCACCAAAGCCAACTTTATACACGGTCCTTAAGAAAAATGGCCATATCACTCTACCATACAGAGGGGAGCTAAATAGTATTATTTTGAGACGTAGGCTGACATCAGCCATTAAGAAAACGTATTACACAGCGAATCTTACCATTGTGGAGAAAACAAAACACATGCTTCACCAAAAACCTAAACACTGCATTAGTGATTACGTCACATCCCATTGTGTATACCAATTTACATATGTGTATGGTCACACATACATAGGGAGGAGTAATCGAGTTATGAAGTTGAGGGTAGGAGAACATGTGCCTAAATGGCTTCAAAAACAAATGGAGTGTGAAACAGTGATAAACGCTGGTGGGAGATGACCCTCTTCATCTATAGCTAAACATATCATAGAAATAGGTCACAAAGTTAGTGTTCAAACAGCTTTCAAAGTTTTGTATAGAAACAGTCAGGGACGTATTCTGAGATTTGCGGAAGCCATAGCCATACACAAATTTAAACCACCTTTATGTGTACAAAAACAGTTTGTTATTACACTACACCTACCTTGGTAAACTTTGTTTTCTTACCACGATTAGGATCAACTATGTCACTCCCTACTTGTCCTCATCTTTCTTAATTTTAATCCCCTACTGTGTTAATTGTTGTATTTATCCCTCCTCCCAGTCCTCGGTTTAATATATATTGACTTGACAAGTAAATGTGTGATCACATTGTTCGAAATGTATTGCGCAAATACATCACATTGCTCAGATAAACTTCGTCTTCTAATTACGCTATCGAAATTCATAAAAGAGACTGTTTCAAATATGCCGATTGGCATGGCTCTAGAAGCAATTAAGAAAGGAGCTCAATAACGACCATGAGCCTACACTACGAACTAAAGTACCAGTAGATGAGATCATGTTAGGATTACAGCTATGCTTAACTTCCCCAATCTTTAAGTATCACAATAAAATAAAATTTACAAAGAAACAGAAGGAGTTACCATGGAATCACTAATATGCCTGTTTTGGCTGACATAATTATGGAGAGGTGGGAACGGATGGCTGTAGAAATATCTAGTCCGGCTCCAAAAGTATATTTTCGACATTCAGATGACACGTTGACAGTGTTGAAACCGGAGCACATACATAGTGTCTTAACACATAAATTCGGCAGTCACTGTAATCCAATGCACCTATGAATTAGAAAATAGTGAAGAGGAATTAGAGATGTTGGATTACAGAATAAAACGAAAACAAGATGGGAGTTTAGACTCTAGTGTTTACAGAAAACCTTCACACTCCAGTTGTTACTTAGATTTCAAATCGTCTCAACATATGTAAGTTAAAGTAGGTTTGGTAAAATGTCTAAGTAACAGGGCTAGAAAACTTACTAGTAAAACAGAAGACCTAAGACAAGAAACCAGATACACTAAGGACAATTTACCCATCAAAAACTACCTCTTAAATTAATTGACAATTTTCCTAGGAATCGGGAAAAAAATATGACTAATATAAGTAACACAAGTGTTAACAGTAGTAATAATGATGTTAATAATAGTAGTTACGGAGAGAATTCAAAACATTACAGTATTACCATGCAAAGAAGGCATCCCAAAAAACATTACGCAGGATTCTCAATAAGACTGGGATTATAGTGGTATTCAGACCCACAAATTCACTTAGAAATGAGCTTTGCAGATTAAAAGATGCTATAGATCCAACTAGGTAGAATAATTTGGTTTACCAAATCCTGTGTGGCCATTTCCAAGTCGAAGTAGTCGACTAGGCTCAATTAGGCTATCCGAGCACAAAAGCTTAGCTGGGTTAAAATGGTAGATAAGGAATTTAGAAAAAAGTTCGGCCATAGCTAGGCGTGCAATTACACACAACTATACAATAGGATAGGACAGGGAGAAAATCCCTAAAAATAACATAGCAGGGTGGAGGGAAAGATTGATAACTGAATCTTCGTTTATCGAATCAACACCTAATACAGGCAACAGGAATGACTTAGCACCTGTTCCAAATATATGGAAAATCCTACTACCCGTATCAAAAAGGAAGCAAGGAAATCAGGACTATATAAAGTATGTCTCTAAGTTATGTAGTTACCTTGATATGACTATGGGCAATAAATTATGTCCGAAATATAATCCAGTAAACAATACTATTCCACTGTGTGATATACCTAATAAATCAAATAAAATGGAAAAGGTATATGGGACTTAGCCGAAAGGTAAAAGTAGATAGTATGGGTCTAGTTACTGGAGAAGAGTAAGCAGATAATGCAGGTGTATCAACAAGATGGTGAGTGGTAAATAGAAAGCAAGCAGTGCTGCACTAGAGATCAGTAGTGTCCCAAGTACGTCTGTGGCAAGCCATACGAAATGCTTAGTCGTCTTCTAAATGAGTCTACTGAGGCGGGTATGACTACACCCTACGGCATGACATTCCATAAAGTGTAGAAAACGTTTGGCCTACGCCTAGGGTTAGCTGTCGTGATGGCCAGCATGTTGCAGATATGGTTAGTTTGTGTGACTTACCTGAAGGATGATCTTGTAGACCATAATAATATCACCCCTCTTTCCACAATAACCCAGTGATTGGGTCTAGGTGTTTCAGTCTGTCAGAGTATGTCTTCTACATTAGCCTGAAAATTGAATTTGTTGCAGATCTTTGGGTTTCCTCAAAACTTCTTGATGTGCATTACTTTGGGCTTTTTCAGGTCGAGTCTCAAACCGTCTTCCGACAACCAGTAGCTGCAGGTCTTTTTTGAGTGCTCTACAGCACGCCCCTTCGTTTGCTGCCCTCCAAATAGTTGTATAATCAGTGAAAAGGACGATGAGTGAGGAGATTTCGTATGACAGATCATTGACGCACATAAGGAACAGAAGTGGTCCCAAGATCGCTCCTTGAGATACCCCTCATATCGACAGTCTCCACTTCGACTGTAATCTGTTTACTTTGGTGCAAAACTACTATGTGCGTTTTAGATATGCTAGAACCAAGAAAGTAGAGGTTCGCTTATGCCGGATGACATGATCTTGTGAAGTAGGATTGAGTGTGGAACTGTCAAATGCCTTAACTAGGTCGAGAAAAATAACATGTAATGGTTTCCGTTGTCCCAGCTAAAAGTCCAGTAGTCCCAAGCAGTCAGAAAGTTGGTGGTGCATGAACGGCGACTCCCAAAGCCATGCTGAGATGTTTTTCCTGTCAAAGAATTCTCAAATCTTGTCAGTTATCAAACTTTCTAATACTTTAGGGAGTATAGGAAGTAGGACAATCAGTATGTAGCTCCCAAGACTTCTGTCTCCTCCCTTGAAAATGGGTGACAGGATCGCGCCGTTCCATTCTTTAGGGAGTATGCGTGACTCTAGCGAGTGTTTGAAGAGGTTGCAGATTGGTTTCGCGAGTGTCTCAGTGCAGTTACTTAGGATTACCGGTCCCAGGTTGTCGCAGCCAGGGGACTAACTAAGAGGGAGCCTGGATAGTTCTTCTGATACTCTTTCTATGTGATGGCGATGTGGCAAAGGTTTTCGTTATTTATGGTTTGATTAGTGTTGCATCGCACCCGTGTAGAAGTACTCAGTTGCGCTTCGAAGTGTGAGCTCGGAGGCTCAGCTATCTCTAGACTGCTTAGTACATCTCCATTGGACGTGTGATAAGACTAACTCCTTTGACTTCCTTTTCGACTTGAAGGGTACAGATTTCATAGGTTACTTTGTACTTTTTTCATCAGGTTTTTATTATAAGTGAACCTGTCACTATACACTTTTGTGTTGCAGCGGTTGCTAATTCTTTTGTAGTTCAAGTCGGACTCGGAGTGATGAACGCTACTTGAACCAAGCCTGCTTTTTGACATGAAGCAACCTCTTTTTCCCGCTCTTTAGACGTTCTCACTGATGGTCAGTGTGTTACTTTTGATAGTGTGACTGGTGGTACGAAGGATTATTTCCTTCACCTGTATCCAGTGTTCATCTATTGGGGGACGGTTGTATCCTTCGGGCTACGGTGCACTCGCGATAATCTCTGGTCTTACAGTTGGCTTCGCTGTAGCAAGGGGTGTTGAATATCTCTGGTTGCATGGTATCCTTAGTTATCAGACAGGAAGTTATTACTATTTAGTCACTGAGGCCAAGAGGTGGTTGGACGTAAATGTTTTCAATGAGATCACCGTTCGTCAGAACTCATTCTAAGCGTGATGCATTTCTGTTAGGCTTTCCAATGGAGAGTACCTAACTCACTGACTCGTGTCTGTGACACCCACTGACTCGAGATCTCTTGGCGGTTGCCATTTTTTTGCCTGGTGAGTTTTGGCTTACTTTCACAAATGCGAAATACGCCGCTTATGCGGTCTTTTACGTTATACCATGCATGTAGAACCTCTGTGAGTGAGGTATGTGAGTCGAATTGGATGGCGAGTAGACTGGGAATGGGGATGAACCTCAGGTGCGCTAGTCTCAGCAGTCTTCTGACACTGTTCACCCACAGGTTGTCGAGGCCAACTTTATTCGGAAGTCAGTGCCGTCGTTGGACGTCGTGGTGGTACTGATCTTTAGCAGAGCCGTCAGTTGGCAGTTCTGGGATTCTACGTATAAACCATCACGGTGTCTCTGTTTGGATTCCCAACCGTGGATTTTCCCTCCCCTCTTAATGATTATGTTTGTCAGTCTGGTACAGGATTTTGCAGGTGCTGAAAGTGTCTGGTTGGAGTGATAGAAGAGCATCTTTATGTTTCGCAGTGTTTGAAGACACTTGTAAGGGTGGTGGTTTGTCTCAGGGTGCTCAGCAGCCTCCAGAAAGGCGTGTCGCGGGGAGAGCAAAGATTCCTAGTATCTGACATACGTCATCCCACGTCTGACTGTCAAACTGTTCTCCCTCGACCATCAATGAATTTGTCAATAGATCGATGTTGAACAGAACAACCGAGTCGGCCCTCCTGGCACTTTCGTTCATCATGGGTGATAACGCCTGATTTCCCAGTGGGTTTGCTATGCACTTTTTCGGGTTGTTTCTCGAACGTAGAGTCTAGGACGTTTAGGCTGTTTCGTCGGGGATCCGCCAGACGGTATATTTTCCCACGTGCTTGACGTTCCTTGTGATAGGGTAGGGATACAGAAGTCCGACTTAAAGAGGTCTTCGTGGTGTTTGCATGGTGACAGACCTGGCTTTCTCTTCGAATACTCTTGTGTTCTCATTTGGTGTCCACCCTCCTTTGTTCAAAGAGATGGAGTTTTTGCGGTGGAGAGTAGCTCTTTGAGATTCTTTGTGTGGAGTGCAGAGAGCTTCCTGCATTCTGCACAGATGTGCCAGAACCATTTCCATGGTTGTCTCTTCATAAACTTATAGCACTTCTGCTGTCAAAGTGGTAATGTATCCATCGCTGACATAGGTTGTATGCTAATACATTGTTGACTTCAATGCAGATACTGCATTTGGTCATGAAAAGGACGTGGCAAAACTTTGGGTTACTGTTTACATGGGGGTGAGCGTTTGGCCAATGGGACTGGATATAAGGAAACCTTAGAAAACATTGGGCCACACACTAGGCCAATTATTAAAACTTAGAGCCAGATGTGGGCCCATATGTGTCAAACATGAGGCCAAATACAGGGGTTAGAAACATCAACCTAGACCCTGAGAAAATGTTTAAAATCCCCGCGTCCGGTCATAAGTTTGCCCTGATGTTTTCCATAGTGAGTGGTCCAAAATTGCACTGTACGGCTAGATGATTATGTTTACTGGGAAACGTCCGGTTTCGATAGATGGAATATTCCAAAGCAGGGGTTACTAATCTGGAGAAATTCGCAATAACTAGGAGCGAATGCGAAATTAACTGGTTTACACAAGTTCCTAAAAAGAAAATGGACATTGAATTGGTGGTAGGAAAGACATCTGTGAGCACTGTCACCATCAACAAATTTATCAGAGGATTTGAAACATTTTCTCTCATCACTGTCATCCATAAACATAGGACCAGGCATTACTGTGTAACAGTGCGACTAGCCACAGCTCACATCACCACATCAAGTAAGAAGGCAGTGAAGTGGAAGATGAAGAAAACGAAATTCAGTCAAAAGGAGTATAAAGTACGAAAAGAGAAAATGGTGAGATTCGGTATGGCGTTAAGATGAGGATAATGTGTGCATATATCTGCGCCACCGACATCGGTTCTGAGCCGTCACACAGAGTCTCCAACCACTGGCTTATTTTGTCCCGCGGACCACAACCAGCTAGTCTGCATCGCCTCATATGGCTTAAACCAACAGTCGAAGACTTCATAGATTGGTGCCATGTTTTAGTCTGATCGCCTCGGTCCTTTTTCCAGTCTGAACCTACTTCAGCCAACATTGCGTGACGAGACAATCGGCGACTAGGCATACATGACACGTGTCCTAACCATCTCAGTCGACCAAGGTTCACAACCTCGTCAACTGATTTACCTCCTCCCTATAACTCTACACTTGACTTTTGCGTTACTCACATGGTGACACCAAGGAATACGGCCTATAGTACGAAGGCAACGGTGGTCAAACACCTCAAGCCATCCTTCTCATGTCTTCCACCTTCAATGGCCATGTTTCACAGCCCTACAGTAGGACAGAGCGGACTGCTGTGCAGTACACGCGACTCTTAATAGATGATTGGATATCACGGCGGCGCCGTAGGTGGCGTAGGTTGTCAAAAGACAGCCGAGCCTTTTGTATTTGTGCAGAAATCTCATCGGCTACTAAGCCACCAAGGCTGATCCTACTTCCCAAGTTAGTTAGTTGGTCGACACACTCAACCACTCCACTCTCTACTGTTAGCCGAGGCATCGTTGATGACCAATCCTGGAGCAACAATTTGCATTTGGGTGGTGAGAAACGCATCCCAAACATTCTCAAATTCCCACTCAGTGTCCAGAAGACTCAGCATCTTATCAACGTCTTCACCTAACAGGACTATGTCATCTGCTTATTCTAGGTCTAACGAAGATTCTCTCGTGATTGGGTCAACCTCTGTGTAGTCAGGTGAGGAGTGGGAGACTTCCTTAAGAATATATATGATAAAATTGAATAAGAATGGAGACAGTGGGCAGTCTTGGTGGATACCAATTGATGAGCACAGCTTCCCGGACATCTCACTGTAGGCTTTCACACGCCCACAGGTGTTTGAATAGAGAGCCTTCAATAAGGTGATGTACTTACTCGGCACGCCTTACAACGAGACATTTCCATAAGAGTTCCAGATCAACGGAGTCGAATGCTGCTTTCAGGTCAAGAATTATAGCTGTTGTTAGGTGTCGGTAAGCTTGTCTGTGTTATAAGAAACCGGCTCATTGCTCGATAACACACGCGGCAGGGTTCTAAACCCCGCCTGCTTTTCTCGGGCTTGCTGTTCGAGAGCTCCTTTCAGGCGTTGGAGAATCATAGAACCTAGTATCTTAGACATTATGTTCTTCAGGCTGACGCCTCTGTGGTTATCATAGGACTTCTCGCCTTTCTTGAAGACTGGGATAATAAGTGATTTAGACCAGTCAGAGGAGATCGTATTTGATTCCCATATGCTAGTTAATACTTCTGTTAACCTGACTAGGATTACCTCACCACTATCCTTGTAAACCTCATGAGTTAGTCCGTCTGGTCCTGCCGCCCTTTCTACATTTTTTCTACATCTGACCCAATCTCCTGGGTCTTGCGTTCGGCTCCGTGCTTAGAGAATTGGGCCCGTCTTGCTCTAGTTCAAACAATTGGCACAGTTTGCGGTCAAACATTTTCTAAATTGTACATACATCTGGCATCAGTGACTCGACATTTAGTCCCATGTAAACCGTGGCGTAACGTCTGGTCCTATATGCACTACATCTGGCCAGATGGTGCCATGGCCCCATACGCGGTCCATAGTCTAAAGCTGAACCGCATGTTGTCCTATTGGGAAAGAAAAAGATGTTGACTGCAGTCAACTTATGATAACGAGTTAATTGATGACTCAAGTTTCAAACTCTACCCAGATAGGTAGTCACATATCCAAAAGCAAAGTATTCTTTAGACTCTTAACTGTAACAATTCCGTAGTAACATCCGGAGCCATTTACCCAGCTCTCAGTGAAATATGAACAGCATAGACACAAGATAACTGAAAATATCTAACAAAATCTTACATCGCTATTGCGAGAAAGAGAAACTTGTAGTTTCCGGGATCTCGCTCCTTCGTCTTGAGAACTGGTTATTTTTGTCAAGTTATACTTCATCGACGGTCGCAAAAATCTCTGTAGTTTACCTGCCTATAGTTTTGGAGATAGTGACGGTTTATAAACCTTCGTGAAAATAATTATTATTAGCAGGTACATTTTGCAAAGGGGAAAGGCAAGGAAAGTCGACAATTAATTATTGGACGAAAATGTTGAGGAAACACAAAAGACAGTTTTTTACATCAGTAAACAGATTATCTTACATTGAGGTCATATAGGGTTGCGACTAAAAGCCCCTCCCCAAAGTTGGCGAACATATGAAATTACCGCGGTCGCATAAATACATTCAATACTTAAACCCTGATGTAAAAAACAATTTATTGGTACACTTTGAAGTGGCAAATTTCATTTTTTCCCCTTTATCCTGTCCTAAAGGGAAAATTATGTCCAAACTTCACACGTGGTCGCTAACCTCGTATTCTGACTTCGACACTGTAACACCAAAAAAACACATTAAAAGGTTCTACCAACAGACCTCTGAACTTCAGTAAGCTCAGTGGCAACAGGTTACCGTCAGATTCATTATATGCGTTTTACAGTTCAGCCGAAAGACCTCTAATATTCCACACTGACATTTTTATCTTGTGTTATACGAAGAACAATCTTTGAGATCGGTTAGGTTCACAGATGTCGGTTTGTCTTCTGATGGTACACCCAGTTTCGTGTACCATGCTGTGGTATGCCATTTATTCAGAAACTATAAGGCCAACAGCTGCTTATCCGAAATCCCTTATGGTTACATAAGTTTGGTAGGTAGAGAAATCTGGCTAATATCTGGGTGCAAATGCAAGAGAGCACAGTTTCCTAAAATCTTGTAGCGTCACGCACTTTCCCAAAATCAGTAGCCTAGGGTTCAACGACATTCAACATTGATGCTGGCTCTGATAGTTCAACTGGACTCACTAGGCTGAAGGCACCCGGTCAAGCATCCTCGCCATTTGGCACGCTGTCGTATTACGTTGCACTGCTCGTATTCGACTCTCTAGCCAGTTAGTTGGAAAGCATCGGTATCTTGGCACAGCCACCCAAATATACTATTCCATCCGACTACGCTATTGTGTTCTTCCTTGGTCTCGTATTCGTGGGTATACAACAAGTCCGAATAATTAGTGATTAGTCTTTGCGTCTGTCAAGTTCACACCAGGACAAATCCTAAAATCCATCCATAATCCATTCTTCTTCATTCCTAAGTGAACTCATTGCACCTACCCAAATTTACTGACCTGCATACTCTTTACCACGTCAACAGGTCAATCATCACCAAAAACCAACACTATATCTCCAACTCGAGTGTTTCTGCAGGGGTTTTCTGATTCAATTATCCTTCACCAGCAGATTTGAAACGTACTACTCCAACCACCTTTTGCTCAGCCACGTCTCTCAGTTGCTTTGTTTGTCTCTCCCTTTCAAAAATACGCTGGACCCCCGCCTCATGTCTTTGGAGCTCTACATCCATTTTTAGGAGCAGCGGCCTATTAGGAGTTCGAACATGAAATTATTTTGCATTATCTGTCACGAGTTAAAATGTTCCGTCACCAAAGAGTCCCCTTGCCTCCCTAATAAATGACAGTTTGAATCAATCCTCCTCAAAGACCACCGTGATGACTGGCTCATGGACGATTCAATCTCCTCTCTGTCTCCCATTGGTAATCCTCCACACACTCCTTACTGAGAGTCCTGAGAATATCTTCTCAACTAGGTGTGACAACCAATGAAACTACTTCTACTGTCAATCAGCTAGGCAGTCAGCTCACTTCCGGTAATCAGTAAATCTCCACAAGGTCTAAATAAAGGAGTTAGTAGAAGGAGGGTGAGCATCGTATTAAAACCACCTTCCAACTGAAGCAAAGACATCCATACCTCTTACACATGTTTCGTTCTTGTTTAACTACAAATTGTTCAAAAAACCCTGCAACTGCGTACTCAGACGAATAGTTTCCTGGAGTCACTTGCCGAACTGGTAGAGATCCTATTATCTGTCCGGCTAGATGTGCATTTTTATCACAAACTCCATGCACTGATCGGTTATCGGCTGTTATGTTTTTCCTCCTTCAATTAGTCAATACTTCCGTCTTATACTAGCTAGCGCGTATTATGTGCACAAGTCAGCTCCCAGTGCACGATAATTTTGTACCGTGGAGTTGGTGACGCGATCGTTGCTTGACAGCAAGAGTGGATGTTATGTGTCGTGAGATGATTCTAGTATCCTTAGTCCTTCATGCACTCTAGCAATCGCATCACAAAATTTGGAACCGAAACATCTACTCGTGCATGGAATTGTACAAAGTCCTGACAACTTTTGCCGTTAGCCCTTCCCGAAGTCTCCACTGAGAAGCCCGTAAGATCATCATCTTACTCTTCTCTCCATCATCAACCCTCAGGAGTGCTACATCCGAAATACCGTCTCGTGAAATGCGCATGACCTCCAAGTACTTAAAATATCTGTACCAGCGGGCCATAACCTTTAGTAAATTATGCCGAAAAAAATGATATTCAAAGTGAGTGCGCAAACCTGCAAGCCTCCGGCCAGCTTCAATGGGCTTAACAGTTGCGTAGAAAGAATCTTGAAATGACACTTCGGCAGAGTGGTGCTCCCAAAAAGCAACCAAAGGTGGCTAGAGAGAGATAGACAACTAAGCAGCAGAGGAAAACGTAAGACCAAGTAAAGATAGGGATGCAAGTGAATATATAGAATAGAGAAGAAAGGGAGCATTCGCGGGAAGAATTCGAATCGAAAGAATTAAACATCGAAGATCGTGGAAGAGTGGAGGAACTGTTGTTTGGACTGGTTGAGAAAAGAAGGTAGTAGGGAAGAAGAGATGTTCGACGAGATCAAGGGCAAACGCACTCGTTGATCAGCAATCCTTCTCGGGTTACCACGAGCGTTGCCTCAGTGGTCGTTTGAAAGGGCTTCACTGTTTGGTTGATTTGGATTACTGAGTATTTGATAAACCGCCATCAAGTTGCCACTAACCTGTGGCAACTAAGAGCACAAAGGCCGAGGTCCTTCAGTTCATTTTGATAAGTGGTTTACCGCATTGCCACCACACCCCCTGTTGTAGGCGTCTGAACTTTCTCCAGGAGGTTTACACCTCCTTCCAATGACGTTGTGGAGCTCTATGTGCGTTTGCTTACAAGTCTTATAGAGCCTGACTGCGCGCGAAGTGCAACACTGTGCAGGCTCTGAGGGCTTCTGTCAGATAGCGGGAGCAGGCGTCCAGCATTGTCAATCACTAGTAGTTTCAGGTCATTTTCTATGATTGTGTAAGAAGGCTACGTATCACGGAGGGGGTAGGATAAATTTTGCAAACCATGGGTGGGGGGAAACATGGTTCAGCATTTATACAGGTTAACTGGCAGTCCGTCGTCATTCATACACTCTGTAGACAACCTGAGATCACCCCTTGGTGAACTGAGTTCTGCCTCAAATGTCACGGCTCTCCGTGACTTAACATCGTCTGCGTAAATTAGAACCAGGGAGCTGAGCCCCAATTCGCAAATCATTTGCAAACTGTTCATCCTATTTTAGGTATGCGGGTGCATACAAGTCAGTTAGCTAGATTCGGGGGATGTGGAGTGAGGTGATTCGTGTGTGTCAGCTGAATTTGTCCGTGTACGCTGATGATGAGGTGGTCCCGGAACGGGCGAAACGACTGTCCTGTGTTCACGTCACTGTTATCTGGCTGGCGACATACTACAGATCAGTCTGACTACTTTCTAATTGGTCAAGTTGTTCAGCAGTTGCATCTTTCACTAACTCGTAGGCATTGCAGTCCTCCTTCTTCCTTAGCTTCTGAATAGACGCACACCGTACCTGCCGGCTTCTGTGTCGTCAACATCCAGCGATAACCAAGCCACTATCAGGATTATAATCTTTGGGGCAACATGGGAACGGAAATGTATTTCCGCCATCTTAACTCCATGTCTCCTCGCATTTCTGAGAGGGCAATCGGGGGTGATGCTCACAACATGACGATGGCGGATGGTAGAAGGCCATGTGTAATGGCAAACTTTGCCACTGGCTGGGCAGTTCTAATCGAACCGGCCCAATCGGGTTTTCCCCCACCGCGGTTTGGAAGATATTATCAAGCCAAAGTCCGTTTGGACATCGTCTCGTCTGTTCACAGCAATGGCGACCTTAGCGTGAAGAGGAATTGTCGTTTATTGCCACCGCCGTGTTCCGGGTCAGCTTTCGCAGCGGTGAACATTCCCGCTGATGTTGTCCTCAGCTGCGCGCCATGTTTTCGGTACTATGGTTAGAACCCCCGGGGAATCCGAGGCTGGGCGATATCACTGCTGTCATATGCAGGAAACACAGGAGCTCGCAGCTCCATTTAACCCCTCCACTGTAACCCTATCTTGGCGATGTGCGGCAGGGGTGGTGTTTGGGACGATTTCGGGGTTTGGCGCTGATGCGTTTGCCTTACGACTGGTTGCCGTTTGGCTGTCTATGGGCTACTCACATATGCGAGTGTCCGTGGGACGACACTGACTCTCTCGCCTTTGGACTCTCACTCGTGGTAGTGGTTTGTGCAGGCGTTGCAATCTGAGCAGCCACCGGCGTGTTTTTTAAGACTCCTGCAAGCAAGCATGCAGATATTGGTGGCTGTATGCCGGACTGTATGCAGACCTACCAGAAACATGTGCACCGGCGACGCACTATGAAGGATTAATATTGGTCCGGTGCGTCCACATCACATCGACAGTGTACCAGCTTGCCACAAACGTTACACTGAAAGTCTGTGTCTACTTTGTCTTCAGTGAGACCATATGTGTGGCAATCGTCACCGTGGCTAGAGGGCTCAGTCGGGGACCTTCTTTTCGTTTTGTCGTTTCCCTTTGGCAGCTTTCACTGGCAGGCTAGGGTTTGTGCCAGGTGTGACGGCAAGACGTGTTTTTTGCCGAAGGGGGGCAGATGAGTTTTCAGAGTTGCATGTGACAGGAACCGGGCTTTTTCCGGAATAGTTATTCGTGACTGTTTTACCAAGGTCGACCAGTAGTCTTTCAAGGCGGACTTGCATCGTTACCCCCAGCCCTGGTTCCTACCGAGAAAGGGGTGGTCGATAGCTAAGATGAGTCTTCACTAGGAGGGTGATCGGGACCGGACTTGGCTGAAACGCTTGTGACTTATTTCATTGGTGCGGTAGGAAAAGGAGGGAGAAAATTACGCTTAGGTCAAGTAAAAAGTGGTAAGTCCACAATGGTTAAAGTAATTTGTCAACCTTACCTTCAGCAGTGGGACTCAGCGGAGTGCCAAGGACTTCACACAGGTCCAAGATGTATGA